GCCCACCAAACCCTTCTAGTGTTTTCCGTTGGTCATGGGAGTCCTGTGTGCCACATTTGGTTCAATTCCATCATTGGTGGAGTTCAGAATGCGCTTTGATTGTAGGTTAACTACAAATCCCAGCAACTACAACTCCCAAATGACAAAATCAGTTTTTTTGAGTGATGGCAGAAGCTAATTATCTCCTGCTATTTGCTTTCCATTGTAGTTGGTGCTTTGGATTCGCAGACCTCTCTCGGCAGAATTTCCCAGACTTATCAATAATAATCGAAAGTTGCTTTATCCCTTTTAAAATGGAGACTACTTACTGTTGGGTTCCTGCCTTCCTTCTGCCTTTGGGTGAAAAGTGCAGGTTTTCCTCGCAGCATGTGATCTTTCACATGCTTTAGAATACAGCGTTTGCTGCGGACGGACCTTGGGGATGGATTGGAGGGCTGCATTCCTTTCAAATGCCAAAATGCCAACAGAAGCATTACAATCCAAGAAAAAGAGGAAATGCCTGACTTTTGGTGTTATATCCAACTTTAAAAGTTCAACAAATTTGACATTGAGTGAAGAAATCCAGGTTTTTTTTATATGCAGAATATAAAGGGTCATCGTATATGGCCACTGAAATGGAAGAGAACGTTTGTCTCTGAGCTACATACATAGTGGGATCCAATATAGGATAGGTAGAGAAGTAGCTCTTATTAACACTCTCATTCAGATACACATCCAGAATTACACAGTTCTTATATTTCCCTATTATGACGATGTTTGAATTGCTCTGCAGCAGAAAAAGTTAGTTTAGTTTCCTTGTTTACTTTGATTTCTTTATAAAATAGCATTGCTTCCGTAACTGCTTTGCAACTACATATTGTTTGGCTGAGAGAGTTAAGCAAAATCCGTAACCTGGGGCTACTCAAACATGGACTGGGTCACTTTGTGAGTCATTGGTTGCTGCTCTGTAGCAAGTATCCAGGAAACAAAAATCTTTTTTACTCAATGGACACATCAAATCACTCAAGACAGACTGGTTTATCTCATTTCACTTGCTCATGGGGTTATGATTTGCTTAGTTCTCCAGGAATTTTGCTTTCGTGGCTTCTTGGCTTTCATGTCAGTTTAAAACTGAATTGATGGAATATATTTTCCTACCAGTTAATTTATTTATTTACAACGTTTATATGCTGCCCTTCTCACCTCGAAGGGGACTCAGAGCGGCTTACAAGGTAATATATTACATACAATATATTATATTATTAGGTAAAGGTAAAGGTAGTCCCCTGACATTAAGTCCAGTCATGTCTGACTCTGGGGTGTGGTGCTCATCTCCATTTCTAAGCCGAAGAGCCAGCGTTGTCCGTAGACACCTCCAAGGTCATGTGGCCAGCATGACTGCATGGAGCGCTGTTACCTTCCCGCCGGAGCGGTACCTATTGATCTACTCACATTTGCATGTTTTCGAACTGCTAGGTTGGCAGAAGCTAAGGCTGACAGTGGAAGCTCACGCCGCTCCTCGGAATCGAACCTGCGACCTTTTGATCAACAAGCTCAGCAGCTCAGTGCTTTAACCCACTGCGCCACCGGGGGCTAATAATAATTATATTATTAGCATAGTACAATATCGGCATTAAACATTGCTAAATTACACCATACTACTATATCGTAATATTATTAGTAATATTACATGTAATATAAATATATAATTATAATATATTGTTATTGTTATTATTATTATTATTATTATTATTATTATTATGTTGCATTACATTATAATATTATAAATATTATATGTATATACAATATATTATATTATATTATATTATATTATATTATATTATTAGAATAGCACAGGAGACAAGGTGGAACTGTCCCCTCGCCCTCTTTCTCTTCACTCTTTAAAGCCCCTCCTACCTGGATATAACATTCTGTGAATTGGATTTGCTATGCATTTATCTGTATCAAAATTACACACACACACACACATATGCTAGGAAGGTGCCTATAAGTAATAATAATATATACTAATAATAATCTAAGTATAAGTAAAGGTAAAGGTTTTCCCCTGACATTAAGTCCAGTCGTGTCCGACTCTGGAGGTTGATGCCCATCTCAATTTCTAAGCCGAAGAGCCGGTGTTGTTAATAGACACCTCCAAGGTCATGTTGCCAGCATGACTGCATGGAGCATTGTTATCTTCATGCTGGAGCGGTACCTATTGATCTACTCGCATTTGCATTTTTTGGACTGCTCGGTTGGCAGAAGCTGGGGTTGACAGAGGGAGCTCACGTCGTTCCTCGATTCAAACCTGTGACCTTTCAGTCAACAAGTTTAGCAGCTCAGTGGTTTAACCCACTTCGCCACTGGGCTCCCAGTATAAGTATACCTATTATTATTGTTGTTATTATTATTATTATCTAATAATCCCTCTATGAAGCCTCCAGTGGTGCAGCGGGTGTTAACCGCTGAGTTGCTGAACTTGCTAACTGTCTGGTTAGCAAGTTCAAATCCAGGGAGCGGGGTGAGCTCCTGCCGTTAGGCCCAGCTTCTGCCAACATAGCAGTTCGAAAACATGCAAATGTGAGTAGATCAATGGGTACCGCTTCTGCGAGAAGGTAATGGTGCTCCATGCTGTCATGCAGGCCACATGACCTTGGTGCCCTCTGTGGGCAATGCCGGCTCTTCGGCTTAGAAATGGAAATGAGCACCAGAGTCGGACACAACTTAATGTCAAGGGAAAACCTTTACCTTTACTATATTGGCTAGGTGAGGAATTCTGGGAGCTGTAATGCAAGAGTAGCTTTTCCAGGCCCTTCGTCCTATAATATTCTTTTCTTGGAAATTATTTTCTTATTTGCAGAGATAGAACCATAGAATCACGGAGTTGGAAGAGACTCCCAGGGGCCATCCAGCCCAACCCCCTTCTTCCAGGCACCATCAAAGCCCTCCTGACAGCCATCCAGATGATATTTCAGAATTAAGTGTTCAGAATCGGAAAACCTAATTTGGCCTGCCATCCTGTGTACATTCAGTCAGTAAGAAGGTTTATTAAACTTGACTGCGTGTGCTTTTGTGTAGGCAAGCACAACTTAGTGTGTTAGTCAGCATCTCCAGCTGCCCAAAGTCAATGCGTAGATTCAGCGACACTTTTCTTTCCGAAGCGACTTTCCCTTTTGTTGCTCTGACTAGATCTGTGGTCACAAGTTCTAGAAAAGGAAACCGGCTTCTCTTGTTTCTGTCTGCTGAAGCTTGAAAAGCCAAACTGTTCATCCCGAGTGTGTTTTGGGTCTCATGATCTGGGGATGAGGAGCCCAGCGAAAACCTGACTTCTGGGGATTTGAGAGCTATTTCCGTCTTCCCTTCTGAGGGAGAATGCCTCGATGCTCACATGCTTTGCTTTCCACCCCCCTTTTGCGTATTTCTTAAGGGAGGAGGTTTGCATTCACTCTTTAGGTGACTTATGGCCTTTGTACTTTGGCCAAGAGCTTGGCTTTCCTCAAACGCTTTTGGAGTCCAGCCTGAAACAAACATCACTTGATATACTATATTGACCCGAGTCAAATGCACCATTGAATTTAATAATAATAATAATAATAATAATAATAATAATAATAATAATAATATAAACTTTATTTATACCCTGCCACCATCTCCCCCAACAGGGACTCGGAGCAGTTACATGGGGCCAAGCCCGAACAACAAATTACAATACAAAAATACAAATTGCAATAAAATAAACAACATAACAATAATAATTTAAGGCGGCCCTCAATTTTCAAAACCCTGGAACTAAAAAGCTGTCTAGAATCATAGACTTGGAAGAGACCTCATGGGCCATCCAGTCCAACCCCCTGCCAAGCAGCAGGAAAATTGCATTCAAAGCACCCCTGACAGATGGTCATCCAGCCTGTTTAAAAGCTTCCAAAGAAGGAACCTCTACCACACTCCAAGGCAGAGAGTTCCACTGCTGAACGGCTCTCACAGTCTGGAAAGTTCTTCCTAATGTTCAGATGGAATCTCCTTTCTTGTAATTTGAAGCCATTGTTCTGCGTCCTGGACTCCAGGGAAGCAGAAAACAAGCTTGCTCCCTCCTCCCTGTGACTTCCTATCACATATTTATACATGGTTATCATGTCTCCTCTCAGCCTTCTCTTCTTCAGGCTAAACATGCCCAACTCTTTAAGCCACTCCTCATAGGGCTTGTTCTCCAGACCCTTGATCATTTTTAGTCGCCCTCCTCTGGACACATTCCAGCTTGTCAATATCTCTCTTCAATTGTGGTGCCCAGAATTGGACACAATAGAAGGAGGAAGAGGAAGAGGAAAAGTAAGAGTAAGAGGAGGAGGAGAGAAGGAGAAGGAGTTTATTTTTCTACCCTGCCTCCATCTCCCCGAAGGGACTCGGGGTGGCTTACATGGGGCCCAAGCCCAGGCGGGCATCTGTTGGGAAGGCTTTGACTGTGTCTTCCTGCCTGATGGAAGGGGGTTTGACTAGGTGTCCTTTGGGGGTCTCTTCCAGTTCTTTGGACTGCCTGGGGTTCCAGGGGAGTCTTTTTCTATTAAACTGAGGCTGGATGGGTGTCTGTGGGGAAGGCTTTGACTGTGTCTTCCTGACTGGCAGAAGGGGGTTGGACTAGATGCCCTTTAAGGGTTTCTTCTAAATCTGTGGACTGCCTGGAATTCCAGTGGGGTCTCCGTCTATTAAACTGAGGGTGGATTGGTGTCTGTTGGGACGACTTTGACTGTGTCTCCCTGCCTGGCAGAAGGGGGTTGGACTGGATGCCCCTTGGGGGTCCCTTCTAACTGTAGTAAAGTATGGACTACCTGGAGTCATTCTAGTTGGAAGGCAACCTTTGGGAGGTGGGGGAGAGCATTTTTCGTGTGAAGTACAGGTGACACACTCCTATGTTGCGACACACCATTTGGAAAGCCTTAGCAGAGAAAAGTATGCCTACGTGTGTCCAAAGCATCTCTTGCTTAAAATGTACAATTTTGGTTTTCTCTGAACGTGCCTTGCAGATCATCGTAGACGATGACGACAGTAAGGTTTGGTCGCTCTACGACGCGGGACCCCGGAACATCCGTTGCCCCCTGATCTTCCTCCCTCCGGTCAGCGGGACGGCTGATGTCTTCTTCCAACAGATTCTGGCCTTGTCCGGATGGGGCTACAGAGTCATTGCCGTGAGTCCCTTTGGCACAGCCTAGGCATTCTCCGCCTCTGAAACAAGGACCAAACTAAAGCTAATACTGGCTTTTTGTGCCTTATCAAAGCCGCATGAAAATGAGGTGCTTTTCTGCATAGCACCCATAGAAATCTCTGTCGTGTCTACTATAGCATCATAAAATCATAGATCTTTAGAGTTGGAAGAGACCCCCTAAGGGCCATCTAGTCCAACCCAATTCGGCAAGGCAGAATTATGCATTATATATACTACAACTCGGGATATAGTGCAATATATTATATAATACTAATAGCATAATATGCTGATAGTGTATTTATATATATATATATATATATATATATATATATATATATATATATATATATTTGTCGTGTCAGGAGTGACTTGAGAAACTGCAAGTCGCTTCTGGTGTGAGAGAATTGGCCATCTGCAAGGACGTTTCCCAGGGGACGCCCAGATGTTTTGATGTTTTATCATCCTTGTGTGAGGCTTCTCTCATGTCCCTGTATGAGGAGCTGGAGCTGACAGAGGGAGCTCATCTGCGCTCTCCCCAGATTCGAACCTGCGACCTTCGGTCTTCAGTCCTGCTGGCACAGGGGTTTAACCCACTATGCCACCGGGGGCTCCATATATTGTGGTATAATAATATAGTACAATATAATAATATATAATAACATAATTGCATATTATATATTGCATATATATATTCTCACACCAGAAGCAACTTGCAGTTTCTTAAGTTGCTCCAGACACTATATATATATATAGAGAGAGAGAGAGAGAGAGAGAATGTAATATTACTAATAATATTGCAGTATAGTTGTATAGTACAATATAATAATATATAATACTAATATTGTTCTATACTAATAATATTATATAATTATACATTATAGTACAATATAATAATATATAATACTAATATTGTTCTATGTTAATAATATTATATAATTATACATATAATATTAATAATATTATAATGCAATACAATATAATACTACTAATAAATATAATAATATATATTACTAATATTGTGCTATGCTAATAATATATTTTATATACATATAACATTAATGATAATAACAATAGAATAATACACTACTAGTATAAGCCTTAAGCGGCTGAGGGAGAAAAGGAAAGGGCCTGAGGATGTTAGGAATTGTGGGAGTTGGAGTCCAAAACCCCTGGAGGGCCAAAGTTTGCCCTTGCCTGATCTAGAAAGTAACCAGTACAGTACGGGACATTATGTGTAGTCCCAAAGAGGAACATTTCCCTGCTTTGAGTTAGTACTGAAAAAAAAGCCGGGTAGCATAAAGAGTAAAAACGATGGCTCTTTTCCATTTCTAACCCACCTTTTTCATGATTTCAGTTGCAGTATCCAGTGTACTGGGAGATTTTTGAGTTCTGCGATGGATTCAGAAAACTGTTAGACCATCTACAGCTGGATAAAGTTAGTATTCCCTGTGACTGAAAAAATATAGCCTGTTCTTACAAAAAAGTGTTAGAGCTTGTTAATAATTTGGTGCATTTCTCCAAGGAAAGGGACAATCTTTCCTATTATATTTACCTATGCTAATAATGCCTTGTTGAAGGAAGACATTGCTGCCTTGAGTTCAATGATGTCTTGCTTTTTGAAGCCCAGAATGGATAGATTTCCTTTCTCTTTGGGGAGATAAAGCGTGGTATAAACAAATAACAATAATAATAATAATAATAATAATAATAATAATAATAGCCAATCTTCACATGACGTCAATTGACTACAAAAAAGCCTTTGACTCACTACCACACTGTTGGATCATCAAGTGCCTAGACACCATCGGGATTTGTAAAAACGTTGGCACTTTTATTGAAAATGTTATGAAGCACAGGAAAACTGAACTGTTTGTTGGAAATGAAAACTATGGACTTGTCTACATCAGAAGAGGAATTTTCCAGGGAGACTCATTGTCCCCACTGCTTTTCATCATTGCCATGATCCCTCTGTCAACAGTCTTACAAAAAACAAACCTCGGCTATCAAACGTCTCAGAGATCTCACAAAATTTCACATCTGCTGTACATGGATGACCTGAAGCTGTATGAGAAAACTGAAACTGAAATTCAGTCTCTGACTAACACTGTCCGAATCTTTAGCACGGATATCAACAAGGAGTTTGGTTTGGACAAATGTTCGACAGTGGCACTGAAGAAGGGAAAAATCATTGAAAGTGAGGACATAAATATGCCCAATGGCCAAGCAATCAAGTGTCACCAGCCAGAGGCCTATAAATATCTGGGCATACTACAGCTGGACAACATCAAACATGAACATGTGAAAACTGTGATCAGCAAAGAATATATTCAAAGGGTCAGAAAAATTCTCCAAAGCAAGCTCAATGGAGCCAATACCATCAAGGCCATAAACACCTGGGCCATACCTGTCATAAGATATACTGCTGGCATTATAAACTGGACACAGGCAGAACTGGACAATTTGGACAGAAAAACTAGAAAACTCATGACCATTCATACATCCTCGAAGTGATGTTGACCGGCTCTATCTGCCTAGAAAGTCTGGTGGCAGAGGACTTTTACAAGTCAAACAAGCAGTTGAAGAAGAAAAACACGCCCTGGCAGAATATGTCAAGGAAAGCCAATAACCTGCTTTAATTGAAGTCAATAATCGGAAACTTCTCAAAGCACAGCAGACAAAGAGTCAGTACAAGAAAACTGCACTCCAAACCAGAGCTGACAGCTGGCACAACAAAGCATTGCATGGGCAGTTCCTTGACATAATTGAAGGAAAAGTTGATAAGGAGAAGACCTAGTTATGGCTCATGAGTGGAACAATGAAGAAGGAGACAGAAGGCCTGATTTTTGCAGCTCAGGAGCAAGCCATCAGAACAAATGCAATTAGGACCAGGATCGAAAAATCAGCTGATGGCCCAAAATGCAGACTGTGCAAGGAAGCTGATGAACCCATGGATCATATCCTCAGTTGTTGCAAGAAAATCGCACAGATGGACTACAAACAAAGACACAACTCTGGCCCAGATGATTCACTGGAACATATGTCACAAGTACCACCTGCCAGCAGTAAAGAATTGGTGGGATCATAAACCCACAAAGGTCATGGAAAATGAACATGCAAAAATATTGTGGGACTTTTGAATCCGGACTGACAAAGTTTTGGAACACAATACACCAGACATCACGATTGTGGAAAAGAAAAAAGTCTGGATTATTGATGCCGCCATACTGGGTGACATTGAGGAAAAAACAGAAAAAACTCAGCTGCTATCAAGACCTCAAAATTGAACTGCAAAGGCTCTGTCATAAACCAGCACAAGTGGTCCCAGTGATCATCGGCACATTGGGTGCTGTCCCAAAAGATCTCAGTTGGCATTTGGAAATAATAAACATCGACAAAATCACGATCTGTCACCTGCAAAGGCCACCTTACTTGGATCTGCGCGTATCATTCGAAAATACATCACAAGGTCCTAGACGCTTGGGAAGTGTTCGACTTGTGATTTTGTGATACGAAATCCAGCATATAGATCTCGTTTGCTGTGACATACTGTGCTTTTGTGTCAGTAAAATAATAATAATAATAATAATAATAATAATAATATTCTAAGCTGTTTTTGCTTTCTACAATTAGGTTCACATCTTTGGCGCATCTTTAGGGGGATTCCTAGCACAGAAATTTGCAGAATACACCCACAAATCGCCCAGAGTCCAGTCGCTGGTTCTGTGCAACGCCTTCAGCGATACCTCCATTTTCAACCAGACATGGACTGCAAACAGGTGAGATGCTGCCCAAACAAACAAGTCTCCTCGTTAGATGAGTGCATTGTGCTTACAAGCCATGTGTTAGGCAAATACATCTTGGCCTTGGCAAAGCTATATTATTATTTTTTCTTTACCCCAAGGGCTACACTTGATGCGAGAGTCCCACCAGTATTGTATTCCCTCCCATCGTCCCTGTTAGTTTAAACAAGCTTAACAAGTGTCTGTGTTGCCACATATCAGTCTGTGTGCAAATATTTAATGTCGACAGTGCGTTCTATGCCATGTTCAGCTTGGACCGTTTCAGGGCTTTTCCTGGAGGCCAGGGAAAGAGGCGAAAACCACTGTTGCTTTGCTCTCTTTTCAGCTTTTGGCTGCTGCCTGCCTTTATGTTGAAGAAAATTGTCCTTGGAAACTTTGCATCCGGTCCCGTTGACCCCGAAATGGCAGATGGAATTGATTTCATGGTCGATAGGGTAAGGATTCCCTAAAGGTTAAAGGGCATAATGGGGGTCTCCTGGTTCTGAAGTTTATGTGCTGCTGCTACATTTTCCTCTTCCCTCCTCATTCCTTTTTCAATTTTTGTCATGGAAAAAGGTAGAGAGTTTCAGAAAAACATCTATTTCTGTTTTATTGACTCTTCTAAAGCCTTTGACTGTGTGGATCATAATGAATTGTGGCAAGTTCTTGGTTGTATGGTGATTCCAAGCCACCTTGCCTGTCTCCTGAGGAATCTGTATAAGGACCAAGTACTACTACTACTTAGGCGATCCCTCATTGTCTTCCAGGATCAGTGTGCTGGCAGTGGGTCGTAGGTGACTTTGGAGCCCTATTCTTGATCTGCATGTTCTCCTGCAGTGAGGGCATTGGTTTCCAGCTGGAAGGCAGTCCCAGTCAGGGTTTGCTTGACACCCCTTCTTCTTGGAACGTTTCTCCCTTTCGCCCTTCATTCGTGCCTCTACAAATTCTACAGCACTGCTGGTCACAGCTGACCTCCAGTTGGAGTGCTCAAGGGCCAGGGCTTCCCAGTTCTCAGTGCCTATGCCAGAGTTTTTAAGGTTGGCTTTGAGCCCATCTTTAAATCTCTTTTCCTTCCCACCAACATTCTGTTTTCCGTTCTTGAGTTCGGAGTACAGCAACTGCTTTGGGAGGTGGTGGTCGGGGATCCAGACAACGTGGCCGGTCCAGCGGAGTTGATGAAGGAGGACCATCACTTCGATGCTGGTGGCCTTTGCTTCTTCCAGCACTCTGACGTTTGTCCACTTGTCTTTCCAAGAGATTTGCAGGATTTTCCGGAGACAATTCTGATGGAATCGTTCCAGGAGTTGCATGTGATGTCTGTAGACAGTCCACGTTTCACAAGCATATAGCAGGGTTGGGAGGACAATAGCTTTATAAACAAGCACCTTGGTATCCCTACAGATGTCCCGGTCCTCAAACCAAGTAGCAACAACAAGAACCAAGTAGCAACAGTAAGAAGAGGTCACAGAACGACAGACTGGTTCAAAATTGGGAAAGGAGTATAGCAGGGCTTTCTACTCTCACCCGACCTATTCAACTTGTATGCAGAACACATCATGCAATGTGTGGGGCTTGATGAATCCAAGGCTGGAGTTAAAATTGCTGGAAGGTGTTGGAGGGACTTTCATCCCTTCTTTTTCTTTCCTTCTCTCCTCATATCTTTCTCCCTTTCCTTCCCTCCTTTTTCCTTCTTCTCCCTCTCCCTCCCTCCCTTCGTTCCTTCCTTCCTTCCCCCCTTCCTTTCCTGTTTCTTTCCCCTTCCCTTCCTTCTGCTTTCCTTTCTTTCCCTTCTTTTTCCCTCCCTTCCTTCCTTCCTTCCTTCCTTCCTTCCTTCCTTCCTTCCTTCCTTCCTTCCTTTTTCTCCTTTCTCCAGCTCCGAGGGAGCCTACTTCACATCATTTCCATGTCAACATGGTTCTTTCCTTCCTTCATCTCCTCTCTTCGCCTTTCTTTCCCCAGTAACATCACAGATGGCCACTTCACCTGGCAACAGCCAATCCAGCATCACCACAAAGGGCCACTTCACCTCGCAACAGCTTTTGTGGCAGAGGTAGAGCAACAAACAGGGAGACAGGCTTTGACTGTTATATAAATAGATCATAAGTGTGGAGGCAGGAATTAAGTCACCAGCTCATTTTTGTGGATGAGCGGTTCAAAAATGCTTTCAGAAGTTAATCTTCTCAAACAGCTTAACCTTCTGATGTATTCCTTTGTTTTGAAAGCTGGAGACCCTGGGCCAAAGTGAGCTTGCCTCAAGGCTCACCCTCAACTGCCAAAATTCCTATGTGGAACCTCACAAAATCCGGGACATTCCTGTTACCATCATGGATGTAAGTAATGGGGGGCTTCATTTTTTGGGGTTGCACGTGAAGGTTGCATGCAAGATGATTCCATGGTGCCAGTCATCCAAATCCTATTTTTTTCCCCAGCCAAACCTCTCTTTCTCTATACACACACACATACATGCATGCACGCACGCACACACTGTATATACTCGAGTATAAGCTGAGGGTGGGAAACATAGCAGCTATTGGTCAATTTTAAAATAAAAACAGATACCAATAAAATTAGATGAATTGAGGCATCGGTAGGTGAAATATTTTTGAATATTTACATAAAACAGTAATTTAAGCTAAGACTATCCAACTCTGATTAAATCATTATTCTAGCCTTCTTCAATGTAAATGTGCATATGTTTCTTTCCAATAAGAATAAAGAGAGTAAAATAATAGATGCAATGATGATGATGATGATAATAATAATAATAATAATAATAATAGAGTAAAATAATTGAAATGTAATACCAATATTTATTTCCTAGGGAAAAGGGGGAAATAAAATGTTTAAAGACAAACTCCCTAGCAGATTGCAAGGAGAAAATATAGACAAAAATGTATAACACCACCAAGAAGAAGAATAGAAGTCAAATTGTGTTTGTTTTATTTGTGCGCATGTTTTGTAGATTTTTTCTTTTTTCTTTCCCTTTCTTTTTTCTCAGCGACATGTAACGTCTATGCATTTTTATCCTTATGAAACCCATAAGGTCCTCCTATGAACCAGCTAGGATGTTAAGATAGTCTGGGGAGGCCCTGCTCTCGGTCCTGCCTGCATCATAAGTACGTCTGGCAGGGACGAGAGACGGCCTTCTCAGTGGTGGCCCCTCGGCTGTGGAACATCCTTCCTACAGAAATTAGATCGGCCCCCTCCCTGTTGACATTTTGGAGGAAAGTAAAGACCTGGTTGCTCGAGCAGGCATTTGAATAGGCAGTGTAACGAATATAGGAATATGGAACAATTGGATGATGAGACTGGATCTTGATTTTAACGATGAGACGATAATGAGATGTTATGATGTTTAATTGATTGTTATAATGCTATTGTTTTAATTGTTTTTAACTGTTTTATGATGTTTTAAGCATTGAATTTTGCTATTGTGAACTGCTCTGAGTCGCCCAAGGGCTGAGAAGAGCAGTATACAAATATAGTAAATATATAGTAAATCTTGGAAATAATGAACATGGATGAACTAACTTATTGGCTATCGCCAAATGAAGGAATGCCAAAGAATCAAACAAACTGGGACTTGGTAAAAAGTTATTTTGAACACCAAAAAATAGAGATGATTTAAGCAAAAAGATGAAAGACACTGAAGGAAGCTGTTATCAAAATATTTTTTTAATATACAAATAGACATAAGATCTTCAAAGCAATAGAGGGAAGTCTGTTTTTATTTTATTTTTAACATATTTTTTTTGTTTTTTGGGGGGTTGTTTTTTGTCTACTTTTTACTTTTTCTATCTTTACTTTTTAAGTTTTTCACATTGTTCAAATTCCAGGCTCTGCACTTCTTTTTTTCCTACTTTTCTATCTTCTTAGAAATATTCCCCCACTTTCCATGTAACCTCATATTTTGCAGAAAAAATAAAAAACTATTTGGAAAAAAAGAAGAGAAACTGCAGTAATAATAAAGTAAATAATAACAGTAATAATAAAGTAAAATAACAAATGCAATAATAATAATGATAATAATAGTTAAATAATAAATGTATAACAATAATAAATCAATTAAAATAATAAATGTAATAACAATAATAAATAGAGAAAAATAATAAATGTAATATGCTTTTGGTCTTGATGTTTTGAAAGTATCTTTACTAAGATCCTAAAAGGAAATAAATGTGTGTGATGGGGAGGCAGAGAGAGATCTAGCGGAGCCTTTGTATATTTCCAAGATTCCAGTCTGTTCCTTCAGATGCATGGAGTAGAACCAGAGAAAGGAAAGGGAGTAATTTCCCATTATCACACTGAACTATATAGTCCTGCAAAGACGTCAAGGCAGATCGCATGGGAGGTTGCAGACAATGACAGTTGGCACCACTAACTCTACTAATAATAATATGATATTATATATTTATATTACATGAAATATTACTAATAATATTACAGTAGAATTGATATAGTCCAATATAGCAATATTTAAAACTGATATTGTACTATGTTAATAATATATTGTATGTATATATACCTTGTAAGCCGCTCTGAGTCCCCTTCGGGGTGAGAAGGGCGGCATATCAATGTCGTAAATAAATAAATAAATAACTCTGTGTCTTCTAGGTCTTTGACCAGAGTGCTCTTTCCACCGAAGCCAAGGAGGAGATGTATAAGCTGTACCCCAATGCGAGGAGAGCCCACCTCAAGACTGGGGGCAACTTCCCTTACCTCTGCAGAAGCGCCGAAGTCAACCTCTATATCCAAGTAAGGCTGTCTTCATGCCATTTACCCCCATGACCATATCGACTTGAATCTAATGCTCACCTTTTTTTGGCTAAATGACTTTGCCAAAATTAGTGTGCATATTGGATGTGCATAATGTAGTAATGCCTCAGCAGACTACAAATCCTAGCATTGCATAGCATTGAGCCATTAAATTAGAGTTGAGGTCCCTCAAAGAAGAGCTCCTGAAGCAGCTTCCCCTTTCACTTTGGTTCAGCACTGAGATTACCAACCATATGACACAAATCTAATGCTTATCCTAATTTTAGCGTAGCCATTTAGCTCAGAAAAGGTGAGCATTCGATTTGAGTAAACAGGGTAATTATTTCCCCCTTCTCCTGCTTTGCAAGACAGGCTCTCATAAGTTATGTGCTGTGTTTGCAACATTCGGGGCATGCCTTGTATTATTGTGCTCATTATGTGGGTGTAATTATACAGATATCTTTGGATCAGAAATCATGGTATTACACTACCACGATCCTATATGTCAGTTGGCTATATCATCGTTATAAGCTGATACCAAAAAGTAGCATGATTCGTGAAATAAAGAAAAACTGATGCCTCACCAGACTACAAATCCCAGCATTGCATAGCATTGAGCTCTGGCCATTAAATTAGAGGTGCTATCCCTCAAAGAGGAGCTTCTGAAGCAGCTTCCTCTTATGCTTTGGTTAAGCACTAAGATGATTGCATGACACACAAAATCCTAATTTTGGCACGGTCGTTTAGCCCAAAAATGTGCGCATTAGATTTGAGTAAATAGGGGACATACAGGGAATGTTGCGATGCTTGGAAGCCATTCCAGAAAGCAATACATGAATGCAAAGCCTAGTATGAAATGTATTCATTCATATATATTTATCAAGAAAAGATGTTTTAAAATATCAACAAATATTAATAGCATTGTTTGTTAATGATAAAAGGCAACAGTTTCCTTGTAATAATTAGAAAGAATGAAAAATTGCCTTAGCTATTGGTCCCAGTAAAAATTCCATTGTAATTCATCCTATAACTTCACAGTGGTCTTCAAATTCGTGGACTTTCCTGAATCCATCTTTCTATGTTATTTATTGGGTCTTCAATTGTACATACGAGGTTGTCTGCGAAAGCTCTCAATTTATATGACTCTTTACCTCTTTTTAGTCCCTTTAATTCTTCTTCATCTCGTATAGCATTTAGCAAAATTTCCAAGGCCAGTATAAATATCAGTGGGGATAAAGGACATCCCTGTCTTGTTCCTTTTTGCACTTTTATCTTTTCTGTTACTTGTCCATTTATCTATATTTTTGCCTCTTGTTCCTTATATATTGCCTGGATTGCGTTGAAAAAGGAGTGTCCCATATCCATCTCTTTAAATAGTGGATTAAAGAAGTCCCAACTTAAGTAGTCGAATGCTTTTTCTGCATTGACTGATAGAATTGCAAGCTCTTTTTCACTGTGCATTTCATAATATTCCAAGACATCAATTATGTTTCTTACATTATCTTTAATTTTTCTGTTGGGCAGGAATCCGGTTTGATCTTCTTTTATCCATGTAGTTAAAATGCTTTTAGTCTTTCTGCTATTATATATATATATATATATATATATATATATATATATATATATATATATGAATGATGTTGTAATCTGTATTCAACAAAGAAATTGGCCTGTAATTTTTTACATTGGTTGGATCAGTGTCTTCCTTGTGTATCATTGTTATATCTGCAGTTTTCCATGAATTTGGTATTATTCCTATTATTCCTTAGTTGATTTTTCATCCTTACTAGAGTCATTGTATATGAATTTGTTATACCTTTCCTGCCACCTTGTGTTCCGAATGGTTTATTTTATTTATCGTGTCAGGCAACCGAACGGTTGTATTACATTTTTGACAGAAAAAAACAAACATACAAAAGACACAGAGTTTGCAAGCTTGGTAGTTGATTAAATGTCCTTTGACCTGTATCTGGCCACTTGGAGTGTCTCTGGTGTTGCCGCAAGAAGGTCCTCCATTGTGCATGTGGCAGGGCTCAGGTTGCATTGCAGTAGGTGGTCAGTGGTTTGCTCTTCTCCATACTCACATGTTGTGGATTCCACTTTGTAGCCACATTTCTGAAGGTTGGCTCTGCATCTCGTGGTGCCAGAGCGCAGTCTGTTCAGCGCCTTCCAAGTCGCCCAGTTTTCTGTGTGCCCAGGGGGAGTCTCTCATTGGGTATCAGCCATTGATTGAGGCTCTGGGTTTGAGCCTGCCACTTTTGGACTCTCGTTTGCTGAGGTGTTCCAGTGAGTGTCTCTGTAGATCTTAGAAAACTATTTCTAGATTTAAGTTGGTGACGTGCTGGCTGATGCCCAAACAAGGGATGAGTTGGAGATGTCGCTGCCTTGGTCCTTTCACTATTGGCTGCTACTTCCCGGCGGATGTCAGGTGGTGCAATACCGGCTAAACAGTATAATTTCTGCAGTGGTGTAGGGTGCAGACACCCCGTGATAATGCGGCATGTCTCATTAGGAGCCACATCCACTGTTTTAGCGTGGTGAGATGTGTTCCACACCGGGCATGCATACTCAGCAGCAGAGTAGCATAGCGCAAGGGCGGATGTCTTCACTCTGTCTGGTTGTGATCCCCAGGTTGTGCCAGTAAGCTTTTGTATGATATTGTTTCTAGCACGCAGTTTTTGCTTGATATTCAGGCAGTGCTTCTTGCAGGTCAGGGAATGGTCCAGAGTGACTCCAAGGTATTTGGTTGTGCTGCAATGCTCCAGTGGGATTCCTTCCCAGGTGATCCTCAGAGCTCGGGATGCTTGTCTGTTCTTTGAGATGGTTGAACAGAAGCTCTCCGAAGCTCTAGGTGCTCTTACTGCCTACTACAGGGAAAACCAGCTGATCCCTAATCCATCTTAAACACAGACATGTGCTTTTTCATCTCCAGAATAGTGAATTCTATGGTTTGCTTTACCAATAAATAAATAAATAAATAAATAAATAAATAAGGTACATACAGGAAGAGGGATTACTTCTGTCCGTGTCTCTCTTCCCCAGATACACTTGCTCCAGTTCCACGGCACCAGGTACGCCGCCATCGACCCTTCCATGATCAGCGCTGAAGAACTCGAGGTCCAAAAAGCCAACCTCCAAACCAGTGCTGAGCCGGATCCGGAGACGTTGTAGTCCTTAGGATCCCGCTTCTCCCAGACAACAATCGCATCTTTCCAACTTTTGCCTTTCCTTTACTACTAAAGCGGCGAGAGTCGTTTCCTTCTGCGAAGCTGGACCAGTTTCCGTGAAACGGAACACTTTCTCATTCATGTCACATGACACAACGTTCAGGACGCCACGTTCGGAGGACTCCTTGAAAGCAACAATCTAAGGAAACTTTTGCTACCAAAGGCTTCACTCTTGTGTTCTTAAAGAAAATAATCTTTTTTAAAATATACATATATACATACATAGAGGTGTATGTATGTATATATATATATATATCCATACAGAGAGGGTGTGCGTGTGTGTGTATATCATGAGCATATTGCATATGCCTGGAGATTTGTTTATCATTTGAATATTTAGTTTTTAAAGCGATGTCCAAGTGCCAATATTGGTATTACTTTTCTTTCTTTGCTTCTTATCAACTTTTTGCAATCAGAACATTATTATTATTATTATTTTGGGTAAAATTGCCTTGCTGCCTCAATAAACCTTTGGAATAAAAATTCAGCCGAAGACGAAGAAAGAAGTGTTTTGTTCCCAGCAGCACAATTGTATGTGGAGGTCGACATGTTTCCACAATTGCCTGCCCGCTTAATAATCAACGAGGCTACTAAATCTCATTAATTTTGCTACTGAAGACCAACATCCAATTTTTATTTTTATAAATTGAGAATACAGTTACAATATATAAAAAAACCACAAGCGAAGTTTTAAAAAGACCTCACAATTTCTGAGGGTGCTTGCTATAGATGCAGGCGAAATGTCAGGAGAGAATGCTTCTAGAATATAGCCATATAGCCCAAAAAACCTACAACAACCCAGTGATTCCAGCCATGAAAGCCTTCGACAATACAAAGTTTAAAAACTTGGCATGATGCTAAATGTCCTTTGACCAGAAGCTGGCCACTTGTGTCGCTGTGAGACGGTCCTCCATTGTGCATGTGGCGGGGGCTCAGGCTGCACTGTAGTCAGTGGTCTGTGGTTTGCTCCTCTCCACACTCGCATGTTGTGGACTCCACTTTGTGGCCCCATTTCTAAAAATTGGCTCTGTATCTCGTGGTGCCAGATTGTAGTCTTCCAGGTTGTCCACTCTTCTGTGTGCCCAGAAAGAGTTTCTCATCTGGTCTCAGGCACTGATTGAGGTTCCGGGTTTCAGCCTGCCACTTTTGGACTCTTGCTTGCTGAGGTGTTCTTACAAGTATCTCTGTAGATCTTGGGAAGCTATTTCTTGATTTAAGACATTGGCATGCTGGCTGATATCGAAACAGGATGAGCCGGAGATGCCACTGCCTTGGTCCTTTCATTACTGGATGCTACTTCCCAGCGGATGTCAGGTGGCACAATTCCGGCTAAACAGTATAATTTCTCCAGTAGTCTTGGGCATAGACATCCTGTGATAATGTGGCGTGTCTCATTAAGAGCCACATCCATTGTTTTAACGTAGTGAGATGTCTTCTATGCTGGGCATGCGTATTCAGCGGCAAAGTAGCCAAGTGCAAGGTTGGATGTCTGCACTATGTCTGGTGATCCTCAGTTTGTGCCAGTCAGCTTTCGAAAGATATTATCTATGGCACCTACTTCTTGCTTGATAGTCAAGCAGTGGTGCTTGTAAGTCAGAGCACAGTCCAGAATGGCTCCCAGGTATTTGGGTGTAATGCTCCGGTGGGATTCCTTCCCAGGTCATTGTCAGACTTGAGATGCTTGTCTGTTCTTAAGGTGAAAAGCACACGTATGCATTTTTGGATGGATTAGGGTCAAAAGCTGTCTGGGATATTATTCATATCAAGAGTAAAATGTAATCAAAACTAGATGTTATATAGGAAATTTGGGATTTGTATTAGAATTAACATAAAATCATCCAGAATATATTGTGTCCAATTCTGGGCACCACAATTGAAGAGAGATATTGACAAGCTGGAATGTGTCCAGAGGAGGGCGACTAAAATGATCAAGGGTCTGGAGAACAAGCCCTGTGAAGAGCGGCTTAAGGAGCTGGGCATGTTTAGCCTGAAGAAGAGAAAGCTGAGAGAAGACATGATAGCCATGTATAAATATGTGAAAGGAAGTCACAGGGAGGAGGGAGCAAGCTTGTTTTCTGCTTCCCTGGAGACTAGGACGCGGAACAATGGCTTCAAACTACAAGAAAGGAGATTCCATCTGAAAACGAGGAAGAACTTCCTGACTGTGAGAGCCGTTCAGCAGTGGAACTCTCTGCCCCGGAGTGTGGTGGAGGCTCCTTTTTTGGAAGCTTTTAAACAGGGGCTGGATGGCCATCTGTCAGGGGTGACTCTTCGGGTGCAGAGGCGGCCCTAGGTAATTTTCAACGGTAAGCAAACAGTATTTTGGCGTCCCCCCCCCAACCAATCATTGATATATATTTTCTGTTCTTCGTGGGAGTTCTGTGTGCCATATTTGGTTCAATTCCATCATTGGTGGAGTTCAGAATGCTCTTTGATTGTAGGTGAACTATACATCCCAATAACTACAACTCGCATATGTCAAGGTCTATTTTCCCCCAAGAGCACCCAAGAGCGTCCCTGGGCAAAATCAACTATACTGCAAATGCTTACTTTGCGTAATGGGTTGAGCCACCCCTATTTGAATGCAATATTCCTGCTTCTTGGCAGGGGGTTGGACTGTATGGCCCATGAGGTCTCTTCCAACTCTATGATTCTATGAGTCTCCTTCTCAGGAGGCTTTTAAGCAGAGACTAGAAGGCCATCTGTTGGGAGGGCTTTGTTTGTGCCTTCCTACCTGGTAGGAGGGGGTTAGACTAGATGACCCTTGGCGAAGCTTTCCATCTCTTAAGTTTCAATGATCCTATTTTGATTAAACAAATCCGGGATAGAGTTAGGGTCCTGTGGAAAATAAATGTCTTGAAAAATTCCATGACCGAGAATGGTTGCTATAGTATAGCATATCGTTTGCCCTCCATATCCATGGATTCAGTCCTCCATAGCTCGAGAATATCACCCGCAAATCATCCCAAAAGCAAACTTGATTTTGCCTTTTCAATATGGGATACCATTTTATTATGCCGTGATATGCAGTTGATCCTCTGGATCCATGGATTCATCCAAATGTCCCAAAAACAAGCCTTGATTTTGCCATTAATTTGTACTCCATTGTATACAGTTGGCCTTTTGTATCCAGAGCTTCTACATCCATGGCTTGAAAATATTAGGGCTGGGCTTTAGCAAAGCGGGTGAAACTGCCAGCTGCATAAAATTTTGCCAATGGAAAGGTTAACAGTTCCGAGTCCAGGTTGGGGTGAGCTCCTGTCGTCAGCCCAAAACAGCACTATGAGTAGATAAATAGGTGCTGCTTTGGCGAGGAGGTATTAAAAGACAGCCATGGGGATATGCCAGAGAGTCAATCGGGAAAATGTCTAAGGACAACAAAGCTCCTCGGCGTGGAAGATGGAGCAACAGCGCCTCTCTGTGGCTGGATTCAAGCACAGCCTCCAGATGGCGGAGATGGAAAAAGATGGGAAGCCTTTGCCTCTGTTTATGTACTGTCTGTCTTTGTTAACTGTACAATGGGATCGAACGTTTGCAGTATATGCATTCTATAATACGCCCTGAGTCTTCTTGGGGAGATAGGGCAGAATATAAATAATAATAATAATAATAATAATAATAATTATTATTATTATTATATTTCCAAAAAGCAAGTGTTGCTTTTGTTGTTGTATATATTGCAGCTTGAGCATCCATAGATTTCGGTATTTGCAGGCGGCCTTAAAACCAAAACGTAGGCGTGTCCTAAAAGCTCACTGTATGTATAAAGAAGCCCAACAAATTACTCAAGGAAAACCTCGTTTATTTGAAAACCAGATGCTTCAACACTGTTTTGTTTTTTTTCAAAAAATACAAAAACGTCATGACAAATTTTAAGAAAGTCTGGCCATTGTTAGAAACAATCTGGTCACGATCTTTTCTAGGATCAAGTCCGCATGCTGCCTTGAAGTTGAGAATTCCAACCTGCAGGATACAGGTGGGAAATGGGCCATTTCCCCTATACATTCTGGGACAAATCACTCCGTTGAATGTCTATGCCAAACAGAAGCCCTTTAGAGCAGCATTTCTCAACCTGGGGGTCACAAGGGGGGTCAGATGGGTTGCCAAAGACCATCAAGAAACACAGTATTTTCTGTTGGTCATGGGGGTTCTGTGTGGGAAGTTTAGCCCAATTATATCGTTGGGGTTCAGAATGCTCTGATTGTAGGTGAACTATAAATCCCAGAAACTACAACTCCCAAATGTCAAGCTCTATTTTCCTCAAACTCCACCAGTATTCACATTTGGGCATACTGGGTATTCTTGCTAAGCTTGGTCCAGATCAATCATTGTTTGCTTCCACAGTACTCTCTGGATGTAGGTGAACTACAACTCTAAAACTCAAGGTCAATGCCCAACAAACCCTTCCAGTATTTTTTGTTAGTTGTGGGAGTTCTTTGTGCCAAGTTTGGTTTAATTCCATCATTGGTGGAGTTCAGAATGCTCTTTGATTGTAGGTGAACTATAAATCCCAGCAACTACAACTCCCAAATGACAAAATCAATCCCTTCCAACCCCACCAGTATTCAAATTTGAGCATAGTGGATATTTGTGCCAATTTGGTCCAGTGAACAAAAATACATCCTGCATATCAGATATTTACATGATGATTCATAACAGTAGAAAAGTTAGAGTTATGAAGTAGTAGCAACCAAAATAATGTTATGGTTGGGGGTCACCAAAATCGGAGCTCCCGGTGGGTTAAACCCCTGTGCCGGCAGGACTGAAAACCGACAAGTCGCAGGCTTGAATCTGGAAAGAGTGTGGATGAGCTCCCTCTATCAGCTCCAGCTCCTCATGCAGCGACATGAGTGAAGCCTCCCACAAGGATGCTAAAACATCAAAACATCCGGGCATCTCCTGGTCAATGTCCTTGCAGACGGCCAATTCTCTCACACCAGAAGCGACTTGCAGTTTCTCAAATCGCTCCTGACACGACAAAACAAAACAAAAAAAATCCTACAAGATGAGGAACTGTATTAAGGGGTCGCAAGATTAGGAAGGTTGAGAAACACTGCTTTAGAGAAACAGTAAATGCTTATATTCAAGTCGGGTGGCCCTTAAAGATGGCTTCATGGCCCGTAATGCCCTCTGGATCCTTCTCAGACTGCCTTTGTTTTGGATGCATCTGCACTGCATTATTAAAGCACTTCGACACCACTTTAAACTACCATTGCTCGAGGCTATGGAAATATGGAAGTTGCTGTTCGATGTAGCACCAGCCCTCTTTGGCAGAGAAAGCTTAACCTTGTAAAATTACAGCTCCAATGATCCCATAGTCTTGAGCCATGGCAGTCAAAGTGGACTCAAGCTGCACTGATTCTACAATGTAGATGCACTCTAAGCGGCTTGCATTAAAAGCATTTCAATACAATTATAAAATCTGCAAACATTAAGAGGATCCAAAGGGCTGGACATTGTTTCAAAGGGCTTTCCATGGCTTGGCAACGTATTGTCATGGCACTTTCACAACTCACGCCTTTCCTTGTATTGACGTTGCTGCCGTCGACATGCTAAGGGAGGAGAGGCTGGCCAGCTTATGGTCTCCATGTGCATAGCTAAAGAATGTAGTAGGGAAACGGTTAGCCGGAACCCCAGAAGTATTGGCTCAGTTGTACAATGGCTTCCTGGCACCGTTTATCGGCCACCCCAAATCCACACTGATATTTACATGAGGCTGGATAACCTGCCATTCCATGGTTCATGCAACCCCAGTTGGAGCATTGCTCCGAATGATTATGGATATGTGTTGTCGAAGGCTTTCATGGCCGGAATCACTGCGTTGCTGAGAGATTTCTGGGCTGTCTAGCCATGTTCCAGAAGCATTCTCTCCTGACGTTTTGCCCACATCTATAGCAGGCATCCTCAGTGATTGTGAGGTCTGTTGGAAACTAAGCAAGTGGGGTTTATATATCCGTGGAATGATGTCCAGGGTGGGAGAAAGAACTCTTGTCTATTTGAGGCAAGTGTGAATGTTGATTAGCACTGAATGGCCTTGCAGCTTCAAAGCCTGGCTGTTGCTGCCTGGGATCCTTTGCTGGGAGGTGTTAGCTGGCCCTGATTGTTTCATGGCTCAAATCCCCCTGTTTTCTGAGTGATGCTTTTTCTTTACTGTCTTGATTTTAGAGGTTTTTTCAATACTAGTAGCCAGATTGTGTTCATTTTCAATTTCCTCCTTTCTGTTGACATTGTCCACCTGCTTGTGGATTTCAATGTCTTCTCTGTGCAGTCTGATATGGTGGTTGTGCAAGTCGTAGAATCATAGAATCATAGAGTTGGAAGAGACCTCATGGGCCATCCAGTCCAACCCCCTGCCAAGAAGCAGGAATATTGCATTCAAATCACCTATGACAGATGGCCATCCAGCCTCTGTTTAAAAGCTTCCAAAAAAGGAGCCTCCACCACACTCCAGGGCAGAGAGTTCCATTGCTGAACGGTTCTCACAGTCAGGAAGTTCTTCCTCATGTTCAGATGGAATCTCCTTTCTTGTAGTTTGAAGCCATTGTTCCGCGTCCTAATCTCCATGGAAGCAGTAAACAAGCTTGCTCCCTCCTCCCTGTGGCTTCCTCTCACATATTTATACATGGCTAAGTGGTCCACCATTTCTGTGTTCACCAAAAATATGCTATGTCTAGGTTGGTTCATCAGGTTCTCTGTCATTGCTGATCAGTCCAACTTTAAAATCAGGGTAGTAGACAAAGAACAACACTCAGAAAACAGGGGAATTCCAGACAAGAATCAATCAGGGCCAACTAACATCTCCCAACAAAGGATTCCCACATGACCGATCTTATTCTAAAGTACAATGGATGCTCCACAATCACTGGTTTTAGTGACTCACTTCCCATGCAAAAAAAGTTAGAAAAATGCAAACAAAAAAAATGAAATTGACCATAGAAACAGCCAGGCTTTGAAGCTGCAAGGCTATTCAGTGCTAATCAAGGTGGTCAATAGCAACATTTACGCTTGCCTCCAAGAGACAAAGATTTGTTTCTCCCACCCTGGACATCATTCCATGGATATATAAACCCCACTTGCTTAGTTTCCAACAGACCTCACAACCACTGAGGATGCCTGCCATAGATGTGGGCAAAACGTCAGGAGGGAATGCTTCTGGAACATTGCCAGACAGCCTGAAAAATTTGCAGCAACCCAGTGATTCTGGCCATGAAAGCCTTCGACAACACAAATAAATTACCTGCCAGAATGGATTGCGGTGATGCACATTTTGTGTACTGTTTGCCTGATATCTCAGGTGGAAAATGTTGCCATTTGTCATGGCATGAAGCCCTTAAAGAGACAGGTTAATGACAACCTATTTGAACCATAGTTTTTTTTTTTTTAAATGAACGTGTCAGTTCCTTTGGTCGCGACTCATTGATAGCAATGGACGCTGGACTCTTGTTCCTTTCTCAGGCTTCACATTGCTGTGCACTTCCTTGGAGAAGTAGGTTCGGCGTTTGCTTGTTTCCGGATGCTTTCTGTCAAAAGAACCAAAGATCTGTTTATCCCGACAGTTTCTCCTACTGCATCTGTTGCATTTCTTTAAACTCTCCTCTCATATTTGGTTCTCCAGCCCTCTTATCACCCTCGTAGCCCTTCTCTGAACCCTCGCAGGATCTTATAGCATTGAACCATGGTAACCAGAAGTGATATCGAATTGCATTACTTCTACAGTGTAGATGCACGCCTGGCTTATTTATTTATTTACTTATTTATTTACAGTATTTATATTCCACCCATCTCACCTCGCAGGGGACTCAGGGTGGATTACAATGTACATATACATGGCAAACATTCAGTGCCATAGACACACAACATATATAGACAGACACTCAGAGGCTATTTAACATTGCAGCTTCTGGCCACCAGGGGAGCTGTCGCTTCACTGCCCGTTTGTGACACTGATGAAGTACTTCCTCATTCTTTGCATACTTTGCTGGAGATTTTTATGGCCTTGAAAATTAGTTAAATTAGCCTCCCCACATAAGTGGTACCTAAATTTCCTGCTTGACAGATGCAACTGTCTTTCGGACTGGAAAGGTTGACAACAAGCTACACAAATTGGTCAGAAACTCACTCCGACCCGGGCTGGCTTCGAACACATGACCTTTTGTTCAGTAGTGATCTTACTTTATTAACTTTATTTATACCCCGCAAAATCTCCCAAAGGACTCGATGCGGCTTACAAAGGCCAAGGCCACCAACAAACAACAGCATACAAATACAACAATAAAACTCATAAGCAAATAACAAAACATCAAGCAAAACAATAAAATACTAAAAACAATGACACCATGACGCATTTAAAACCTAAAGGCCGGGCCAAATGTAATGGATAAAATTTAAAAAGTGATGGACTTGACAGGTGATATGTAGAGGTTTTTTGGAGTAGGTGCAATGTGTAGACAATGCTAAAACTAACAAAGTGCATTTGGGTCATGATGCCAGGAGTTTCTTATTCTGGAAAGGCACACTGGAACAGCCAGGTCTTCAGGCTCTTCCTAAAGATTGTCAACGTTGGGGCTTGTCTCATGTCCTTGAAGAGAGAGTTCCAGAGTCAGGGGGCCACCACAGAGAAGGCCATGTCCCTTGTATCCACCAAACGTGCTTGCGATGCAGGTGGGAGCGTGAGTAGGGCCACTCCAGATGATCGAAGGGAACGTGTGGGTTCATATATGGAAATGCGGTCACGCAGGTAGGCGGGTCCCAAACCGTTTAGGGCTTTGTAGGTGAGCACCTGCACCTTGAATTGGGACCGGAAGATGAACGGCAGCCAATGGAGCTCCTTAAACAGGAGAGTTGACCTCTCTCTGTAAGGAGCGCCAGTTAGCAACCTAACCGCCGACCGTTGAACCAGTTGGAATTTCCGAGCCGTTTTCAAGGGCAGCCCCATGTAGAGCACATTACAGTAGTCAGCTGACTCCCAGCCAGCTGAGCCACAGTCCCTTATGTTCTTTGAGTTACAATGACAGAATTGTACAAAGTTGATGGAGTTGCCTTACCTGCCAAGTCTTTCCTTCCGATGCCCACCAAACCTTCGTAGAGCCCTTTGACCGGGTTCTCCCCCGCCATGATCACGCCGTGGAGCCAAATCAACAGCATCCTGTGGCCGTGTTCCCTGTAACTTTTGGTGCCTGGGATGAACAAAGGACACACACAAAATTAAGTGTTGTTGTTGTGCAAATCAAAGCGTATAGCTCATCTTTTAGCAACATGCATTTTGTTTTTATTTCCTGCATTATGGTAAATCAGGCATGGGCAAACTTGGGCCGTCCAGGTGTTTTGGACTTCAACTCCCACAATTCCTAACAGCCAGTAGGCTGTTAGGAATTGTGAGAGTTGTAGTCCAAAACACCTGGACGGCCCAAGTTTGCCCATGCCTGTGGTAAATCCATGGGAGAGATCTCAGCCAGGCCAAGAACAAAAGGGGCAAAGAAGTAGGAATGTTATTTATGGAAAGCATGGGTCTTTTCATCTGGTTTAATCCTCAGAGCCAGATCAAAAGCCCTCTATTCTCGGAAATATTCAGTGAGCCCTGCAATGTTCAGAGATTTCTTTGAATGCATTTTTAATCAGTTTTAAGGATTTTAATTGTTAATTTTAAATTACTACCACTAATCATAGAATTGTACAATAATATAGAGGGATGAGACCATATGGTCCACCTATTCCAACCCTCTTCCAAACACAATCAAAGCATTCCCAATAGATGGCCATGCAACCTCAATAATAATAGGTTCTTCCCATGGTTCCTACCTGCCCACTGGTGTTCAATCGCTCGGATGTGTGCCTCGGTGAATTTCCAGTAATGCGCCAGCTTCTTCCACTCACTGGGTTTGAGGTATTTGGTAGCGAGCCTCCACATGACCGAACGGATGTGTTTGGTCTCCAGACGATGGTCCTGCTTAAAGGTTAAGTGCTTGGCTATCCAGGAGTCAGAGTCGCTATTGAGAGTGTCCTGCAAACAAAGGGACAAGATCTCTTCCATTAATTTGAATAGATCTTTTTAAACGGATTGACCAAGCATCCTTTTGGGAAGTTATGGTGTTGTAAGCTAATTTTACAACTTTCATAACATTTTCCTATTCATATTTATGCTTATGGTACCATTGCCATGACCGCAAATGGACTCACCTTAAAAGATAGGAAGCTGCATCAAGACATCTATCTGTCTGCCCATCCATCCATGCATCTATGCATCTATGCATCTATCTATCTATCTATCTATCTATCTATCTATCTATCTATCTATCTATCTATCTATCTATCTATGCAAGCACCCATCAATTCATCTATGTATGTATGTATGTATGTATGTATGTATGTATGTATTTATCTATCTATGCATCCACTCATCCATTTATGTATGCATCCATCCATCTATGCATCTATCTACCTATGCATCTGTCTATCTATGCATCCATCTATCCATCCACGTATCTGTCCATGGATCCATCTATGCATCCATCCACCCATCTATCCGTGCATCTATCTATCCATCTATGCATCTATCTACCTATGCATCTATTTATCTATGCATCCATCCATCCATCCATCCATTTATCTACCCATAGATCCATCTATGCATCCATCCATCCCTCTATCCGTGCATCTATCTATCCATCTGTCTATCTATGCAGCCATCCATCCATCCACCCATCCATCCATGTATCTATCTATCCATCCATCCATCCATCCATCCACCCACCCATCTACCCACCCATTGATCCATGCATCCATCTACCCATCCATTCATCTATGCTTCAATCTATGTATCCATCCATATCCATCCAACATAAAGGCAGATCAGATAGCACACCAACTCTTGAAGAATGGGAAACCCAACCTTGCCACCAAAGTTGGAAAGAAACCAATAGCCAGACAACCAGAGATTGAGAACAACAACCTTCATGAACCCTTTACATCTACTGAATTGGACATGGCTCTCAATAAATGTAAAAATGGCAAAGCAGCTGGCTTGGATGATCTATGGATGGAACAAATCAAGAACTCTGGTTCAAAAGCAAGGCGCTGGCTGCTGGAGCTGATGAACAACTGCACTGCATCCTGTCAGATTCCCAAAATCTGGAGGAAAACAAGAATCATCGCCATCTTGAAGCCAGGCAAAGACCGTAAGAAATGGGGCTACAAAGTGGAATCCATGATATGCAAGTGTGGAGAAGAGCTAACCACTGCCCACCTGCTGCAATGCAACCTGAGCCCTGCTACATGCACAATGGAGGACCTTCTTGCGGCAACACCAGAGGCACTCCAAATGGCCAGATACTGGTCAAAGGACATTTAATCAACTACCAAGCTTGCAAATTTTGTGCTTTGTCTGTTTGTTTGTTTGTTTTGTTCTGTTAGAAATGTAATCCAATTGTCTAGCTGCCCCTGACACGATAAATAAAATATCCATCCATATTTTAATTATGCTGTTCGGGCTCATCCCCATGTAAGCCACCCAAGTCCCTTTGGGGAGATGGAGGTGGGGAATAAATAATAATAATAATAATAATAATAATAATAATAATAATAATAATAATAATAATAATTGTTTTCATCCATTTATCTATGCATGCATGCATCCATCCATTACTCTTTGAATATCAGTCTTCAAATAGTACATAATACTTTTTCTCGAGTTGTTTATAAGTTGTTCCTATGCTACACACAATCAGCATGCCAATCAAACTGCTCGGTTTCACACAAATATATTCAAAGGTATGTTGGGCCTTGCATAATAAAATCCAAAATCCGCAGAAGTGCAAAACCACTGGAATTTTGTCTTCCAAAACAGTTGGTACTGGTGAACATCCCATAGCAGCATTAGTTAAATTCTCCTTCCCTGTCTTTCTCTTTTCCTGTTTTACAAAAGTTAGAATAATCTTTAATTTGATTTGCCAAAGCTTCTGCAATTGTGAAGTTCTGAATAAACAGTGACCATCCATCAGGGTGAAGCCACAGTTATGATACACTCCTATGGCTCCCTATGATAGAAGTATGATGTACCTATCCTTTACTACCAGACTGTTCCCCAACACAACTTTAAAACAAATTGATTGCAACACTATGCATTTGTTTGGTAAGTCTGCCACTTTGTGGACAAAGAAAGTACTGCAGGCATCAAATACATTTTTTGAAATTACAGATGTATATATAGGCAAACACATATAACTCCTAGCCAAACACCCTTAGGGGCCCAATAGTATGTCTATAACTGGGTTTCCTACCTTTTCCCATTTGTAAAACCTATCTGCTTTGATGATCATATCAGCCAAGTTGACATGGTTCCCACGGGCAGCAATATCTAGTGATGTTTTCCCTTGCTGTAAACAAAGGACAAAGCAGGAGAAGGGAATAAGAACCATAAAAGTAAAAAAAAAGCTCATTTATCATATCTTAAAATTAATGTGACTCTTGTCATATCTTGAGAGCGCATGCCTCGTTTTCCTATAGTGATAAATACATGGAATGCCTCAAAACTTTCAAACACCCCCTTTTTTGTATGGAAATTAGTTGGAATTGGCCTGCAAAGGCTTCCTTAAGGGAAGGAGATGATATTGGGACTTTAGAAATAGTGGAAAAAACAACTGCAAGTAAAGAAAGCAGGGAAACGCCACAAAGGTTAGGATTCTGAGTTGGTGTTGACTTATCCACTGATCATAACAAAATCTATAACTTTGAATTCAACTTATATACCAGTAGATACTGTTCTCAGATACAAGTGGTTCAGTGGATGTATTCTACATGGCCTTAGGGTCCCATGCAAGACACGCTTTACCTTGTCTGTGAGTTTCAAATTCACCCCGGCAATCAGGATGATCTCCGCAATGTCTTGCCTCCCATATTCAGCAGCAATATGCAGCGGGCTCTGCTGCCTCTGAATAAATAAAAAGAAAAAAAAACCAAGGGAAGCAGGTCTTAATCAGTTTCCTGGGTTATATGAGCCGTTTTGCTCTTTACAGGAATGCCATGATTTCCCCATCGGAGCCAAATTAACTTGCTTGAGAGGCACACGGTGTAGAATTTTGCCTTGTACGTTAGGACAACTCGAGGGAATGGGCAAAGTTGCAACGGTGGGAGAACAGGCTTAATGGGATGGTCAATCCACTCTTTGTTTTACTCCTACCCAAAGTTCTGAATGCTGCAAATAGTTTCAGCACCCTGGACAGCAGCAGTAAAGTGCAGATGCACATCAGCTGTCCAAAGGGCACCATGCCTCAAGCTTCCTGATTCTGTGGTGATACATGATTACAGGAATGGTAATATGGACGACGAAACTGGATCACGATTTTAGTCATAAGATGCATTGGGTTGTTATTGTTGTGTCAAGATTGTGTATTATGCTTTTATGGTTTTAAATTGTATATTGTTGACTGTTGTACCTTTGTTGTAAACCGCGTTGAGTCGCCTGTTAGGCTGAGAAACTGTGGTATACAAGTAAATAAATAAATAAATAAATAAGCTCCTCACCCACCATGTTTTGTGAATGTTTTTGTGAACTGTATTTATGCAGCCCCCCCCCCCCAATCATCATCATGATAATCACCATCATCTCTGTCTCTTCCACCAGGCCTACCCAGACAGTTAAAAGTATTAAACTCATGTCCTCTGTTTTGGGCTCTGTCCTGTGTGATTAATGTGTATTTCACAAAAATGCTTTGATATATATCTTTTATGGAACTGCATTTTAATATGCATGTTTCTAGATTTTTTATATTATTTCTTTGTTTGACTGTGCTGTGACCTGCCTCGAGCTATGGGGAGAAGCGGGTAAGAAAAATAACAACAACAACAACAACAACAAAGCATTGCATGGGCAGTTCTTTGATAAAATTGAAGGAAAAGTTGATAAGGAGAAGACCTGGTGATGGCTCACGAATGGAACCCTGAAGAAGGAGACAGAAGGCCTGTTGCTTGCAGCCCAGGAGCAAGCCATCAGAACCAATGTCATAAAAGCCAGGATCAGAAAATCAGCTGATGATCCAAAATGCAGACTGTGCAAGGAAGCTGCTGAAAGCATGGGTCATATACTCAGCTGTTGTAAGAAAATTGCACAGACGGGCTACAAACAAAGGCACAACTCTGTGGCCCAAATGATTCACTGGAACTTATGTCACAAGTACCACCTGCCAGCAGTAAAGAATTGGTGGGATTATAAACACACAAAGGTCATGGAAAATGAACATGCAAAAATACTGTGGGACTATCAAATCCAGACTGACAAAGTTTTGGATCACAATACACCAGACATCACAATTGTGGAAAAGAAAAAAGTCTGGATTATTGATGTCGCCATACCAGGTGACAGCCGCATTGAGGAAAAACAACAGGAAAAACTCAGCTGCTATCAAGACCTCAAAATCGAACTGCAAAGGCTCTGGCATAAACCAGTACAAGTGGTCCCAGTGGTCTTTGGCACACTGGGTGCTGTGCCAACAGATCTCAGCCAGGATTTGGAAACAATAAACATTGACAAAATCACTATCTGTCAACTGCAAAAGGCCACCTTCCTTGGATCTGCACGCATCATTTGAAAATACATTACACAGTCCTAGACACTTGGGAAGTGTTCAACTTGTGATTTTGTGATACGAAATCCAGCATATAGATCTCGTTTGCTGTGATATACTGTGTTTTTGTGTCAGTAAAATAATAACAACAACATTAATCTTTCTTTTTATCCCACTTTTTCCCCAATACAAAGACTCAAGGCACCTAACAATAATGAAACTGATTGTGACTCTATTTACACCATTATAATGCTCCAACACATTTCTACTTGTTTTGTGATAGTCATGCCATGTACAATGTTGGGTCATTTTACCAAATGTGGTAATCTTGTGAAGAGGCAAGGAAATATTGGATTCAAATGAATATATTAGAAGAAATTGTCAAAGCTAACATTACAATGAAATCTTGCTGGTGATGCTGAGTGATTACTAGGCTTGTGCGCGGATCCATTTTAGCAGTTTTCATCTGCCAATCCAAGAGCCCAGCTGCCACGGTTTTCCATCCATATCGGGACCACATGGCAGCCGATCATATCTCCTACTCCCCTTTTCGGGAGCACGTGGCGCACAAAGAGATTGCCGCTGCATGTTCCTCCTCACATGGGGCTTCCCGAGTGCCCTGCCTGTTGGGCCAATCGGAATAGAAGAGTGACGTCTCTTATGCATGTTGTGTCCGCTTCCTTAGCCCTGTTGCTGAAACCCAGGCACTCTTGAACGGAAAAAAGGAAAGGGTCCCAGGAACTGAAAGGGGTGCCTCGTAAGTTCCTCACTGCTGCCAATGGGGTGGATCTAAACATATTTTTCAGGTGCTGATTGTTTTTGAAAGGCACACGAAAACAAATACAGGAGTCTACTGGAATCTGGCCAGCAGAAATGGATTGAGGTTCAGTCAAAATGCACAAGCATAGTGATTACCTAGAGAGAAAACATGGAAGATTGCTACGATTCTGAATGGAGAATTGTCTCCAATCAGAAATGGAAAGACTCAGCTCTCCAAACACAAGAAGACTGAAAGTATGAGAATTAGCTGAGATGCACAAGTTGATGATGTTGATCAAGGAGAAATCCTTGACCAGTTTTAAGAACGACTGGTATCTACTGATTACCTTTTTACACCAAAGATGAGGACACAATTATGCTATTGTTTTTTGTTTTATTGTTTACTTAGAAGAAGGTTATTAAAGGGTAGTTATATAGGCATATTTCAACGAAACAGCAAATTGAGACATTAAAACCAAAAGGCAGATGGTGTCTTACATTATCAGGGATGTCCAGGTCACATTCAGCATCAATTAGGAGCTTGACCACAGCTGGATGATTGTGTAGCACCGCAATATGCATAGCAGAGGAGTTTTGCTACGGGAAGAAACAGCAACATTAAATGCTAATTTTGAATTTTTGGCCTCCAAATTGCAAATTATGTTTTTCTCATGTCAGTTCAGGTGTGGCCACTATTCATTTATGGCAACTCAATGGATACTACATTATATGGGAAGCACTAGTTGTGATAAATCCCTATGAGACTTTGGTTCCAGGATATCTGGTGGATGGTACCTCTTGACATGAAGCTGCCTGGAATCTAGGGTCCTTGTCTCGATCCCACAACCATTATAGGAAGAGTTGGTGGGAACACAAGACTGGGCCTTCTCAGTTGTTGCCTGCTAGGCTTCTTAGAAGGACAAAAACTTAACTCAGTTCTCAAGAAGTTATCAGAATCAGAGGCCTTCATTTTCCAACAGAAGGAGAGCTTCCTGCAAGCAGCAGGCTCTGTAATTCCCATCTCTGAACGAGACAATCAGAGCTTTCACGGCTTCAAACTAGATCTAAGGGATGCATACCTCTCCATTCAGAGAAGCAAAGGTGCCCCGGTTGTCACTGATTCAATGAGCTACTTACATAATTCAGTGCATCGAGTTGAATCCCTGCATTGATCAGGATCCTGGCCATATCTTCGTAGCCATTCAGTGCAGCGTAATGAAGGCATGTCATGTTTTTCTAAGGGGAGAATGAGACTGAGGAGGCATCGGAAGAAATCATTTCCGGGCTCACAAATGGTCTTCAGCTTGTTCAGTGATTCTCAAACTTTGGCCCTCCAGATGATTTAGACCAGTTTCCAGAATCCCTTAGTGTTGGGCTTTGGGCAACTGGAAGGTCCAAGTTTGTGAGTCAGTGAACAATAACAAGGCTTCCTTACAGCTTATTTATTTATTTATTTATTTATTTATTTATTTATTTATTTACTATATTAATATACCATTCCTCTCAGCTCACAGGTGACTCGGGGCAGTTCACAGTTAGTACCAAGACCATAAAATACAATTAAAAACATTAAAATATTATAAAGCCATAGCAAAATTAATAACAAACATATATCATTAGCATCTCTTTACTGAAAGCATTGGTCAATCACATTGTCTAATTATTCCATTTTCTATGTCAGTCACACTGTACTTGCAAACGCTTGCTCAAAAAACCAAGTCTTGACTTTTCTCTGAAATGTTAAAAGGGAGGGGGTCAATCTAATATCCCTAGGGAGGGCGTTCCATAGCTGAGGAGCCACCATTGAGAAGGCCCTGTCTCTTGTCCCCACTAGCCGTGCTTGTGACGAGGACGGGATTGAGAGCAGGGCCTCCCCAGGTGATCTCAACCCTTTATTTTATTTGCATTATGTGTCATCTTCGATGTATGGCGATTCTATGAATCAGAGATCTCCAACAACTGCCATTGTCCACTATAGTCGAAAGTTCCAAGCAACAGCAGCTTCCTTCCTTGAATCAATCCATTTACAATGTCGTTTTCCTCTTTTTCTACAGCCTTCTTCTTTATCAAGGATTATTATATTTTCCAGTAAGCCATATCATCTCATGATGTGTCCAAAGTATGACAGCCTCAGTTTAATCATCTTAAGCCTTTGCAAGATCTCTAACAATGTCTTCTTAGCAGAACTAAAGTATTTCCCATCACCCTTCCCACCTGGGGACCTGAGAAATGGCCTCCCGGTACAAACAACTCACCTGAGTTTTGGCATTGATATCACAGCCAGCTTCCAGGAGTAGATTCAGGCAGCCACGGTGTCCTCCTTCGGCAGCCAAATGCAGCGCAGTCAAGCCTTCCTGCAAAGAGAGAGGAAAAGAAGACAGATTCATGGATGGATTCATCATGACAAGAGAAAATGCAGGTGGGAGTCGGAGAAATACATGCAAATGGAGACTGAAGGAATTTCAATCCTTATTACAGAGCTCTTGAAGTAAGGAGAAGCAACAGAGGCTAGATAGAGCATTTGAAAAGAGAAGAGGTATAGTAAATGACAGAAGTGAGGAAAGTAAGGTTGCTCTTGAATAATTGGCATTGTTGTACTGTTGGGCTTGGCCTCGTGTAAGCCACCCCGGGGTATAAGTAAAGTTTTATTATTATTTATTAATGTATTTTGGCTGCAGATTGTTAGTATCCTTCACATGCAAAAGTTCCTTTCCACCTGTAGTTGTCCTTTTTTTGGCCAATATGTATCATCCATATTCAATTGGAAGCTGCAAAAGCAGAATCATGGATGTCGTGTCATTGCACATCCATAATTCTGGTTATTATTATTATTATTATTAATAATAATAATAATGTATTTATAGCCTTCTCTATCATCACCTTGAGGACTCAGGGTGGTTCACAACAAATTCACAACAGGAGCCGCCGTGGCGCAATGGATTAAACCCTTGTGCCGGCTGAACTGCTGACCTGAAGGTCAGTGGTTTGAATCTGCGAGACGGGGTGAGTTCTGGTCTGTCAGTTCCAGCTTCCCATGCAGGGACATGAGAGAAGCCTCCCACAGGATGGTAACACATCCATGCATCCCCTGGGCAACGTCTCTGCAGACGACCAATTCCCTCACACCAGAGGTGACTTGCTGTTTGTCAACCATTAAATGCCATAAAGTGCAACCAAAAAACAATGACATGAATAAAACAGATCATATTAAACAAGAACATAAAATAATATTGTTCATAAGTATACATTGTCTGTATGGTTGTGCATCAATGTATAAATACACATTGATTGCACAATGCCACAATTTTGCAACAAGGCCATGCATAACCTAGGGAGTGTCAAGTTATTAGATCTCAGTCTTTGGCTATTGGCTTGTTTAGGTTTTTGTTCCAGGGAAAACAAGTCTTGGCATAGACTTGCAATAGATATTTTCTCTCTGAAAGTCTTCTACTCACTGTATTCTTCTCATCAAGGTCCATCCCAATTTCGATAAGTTTCCGTAGCACCCGTGCGTGACCGTTCTTGGCTGCTAAATGGAGGGCTGTGTTCTTCTCCTGAACATCAGTTCAATATTATCCACCATAAATAAAAAGAAGGGAGACCCAATAGTTAGGACAGTCTGTGGCATCCTCCCAGGGCACAATAAATCAATAGATCTATTGACAGGTTGGGTGAGTATTGGCAGAAAAATCTCATTAAAACCTCAATATAACACTACAGTTTATTTATTTGCCCTTTTCTCCAAGCAGCTAGTTAAACAGCTTCCCAGGTAAGGGATAAAAGAGAGAAGCAGAGCAGTGCACTATCTGTAGACTAAGATTGGTAATAAATAAATTATTATTATTATTATTATTATTATTATTATGAGCTGTCCCCTGCCACGCGTTGCTGGGGCCCACTTGGGGGGTTCTGTGTGGGAGGTTTGGCCCAATTCTATCGTTGGTGGGATTCAAAATGCTCTTTTATTGTAGGCTAACTATAAATCCTAGCAACTACAACTCCCAAATGTCAAGATTCTATTTTCCCCAAACTCCACCAGCATTCACATTTGGGCATATTGAGTATTCATGTAGAGTTTGGTCCAGATCCATCATTGTTTGAGTCCACAGAGATCTCTGGATGTAGGTGAACTACAACTCCAAAACCAAAGGACATTGTTCACCAAACCCTTCCAGTATTTTATGTTGGTCATGGGAGAACTGTGTGCCAAGTTTGGTTCAATTTCATCATTGGTGGGGTTCAGAATGCTCTTTGATTGTAGTTGAACTATAAATCCCAGCAACTACAACTCCCAAATGACAAATCAATTTTTTTGAGTGAAGGATATACATTGGGTTGTTAGATGACTTGTGTCCAAATTTGGTGTCAATTCATCCTGTGGTTTTTGAGTTCTGTTAATCCCACAAATGAACATTACATTTTTATTTATATAGATGATGATGATGATGATGATGATTATTATTATTATTAAAGACCTACTTTGTCTTTAAGGTTCTGCGCACAACCAAAGGCAACCAGAAACTCCACTACTTCGAGGTGTCCATTCTCTGCCGCTAAATGGAAGGCAGTCCGATCCAACTTGGAGAAGAAAAAAGAAGCAGGAAGGGAAGGGAAAAAAAACATAATCCTTACTAGCAACGTGTTGTACAGCCAGCCCTCCACATTCACTGAGGTTAAGTAAGGACACAAGACCTCCATGGAAGTGAAAAACCATGAATGAAGGCGTTTTTTCCCCATTCTTAAGGACATCTTGGCAGGAATCTCAAGGTCCTCTGGCACAACTTTGTGGTCAATTTCTGCTGGAAGCTACCCATAGAACTGTGTGTTTTTCAGTGCTTAGGACACTAGTATACTAAAACTAGTTAGGGTTTGGAGTATGTAGCTGTGATGGAAAAATATATGATGTATAGTTTGAATTGAACTGTATGAAAGGAGTATAAATGGGGCCTAATTGGATTGAAGACACAATTCTAAAATATTGAGACCTGGGAAACAACTACATTCATGGACTGCCATTAGAAATTACTGACGAGAACTGTGACAATGGTTAACTGTTGAACTTTTGGTGAAAAACAACATGTTTATATAGTCAGAGACAATTGCTCCTTTAAGTTTAGGAAACCAATATCTCATGGGAAGGAAGTCAGCACAAGGTTCCTTATGTTTACCAACACCAATTAAGGAGAGTCAACATCTGTCTGGGACTGATGGGAATCGACATGTTTCCGGCTGGAAAAACACCTATTATTTTTTTACAACTTTAGAATAACATCAGCAGAAATATTGCTATATAGGGGACCTTATTACAATCCAAAAATTGTGGCAGACTAGAGGAGTCTGGTCCACCTGCCATGCTCTGCTCCATGGAAAGAAGAGATGTTGTATTTATTTGCAGGGTGACAGATCTGCAATGGAACACAGAGTCTGGTCGCTGCCTCCTCCTCAGGTTGGAAAGAGTGCGTTTCAGAAAAGTATTGTGCGTATTTGGGAATGGCAGATCTGCAATGGAAAGCAGAACATGGTCACTGGATTCTTTTTCAGGGAAAGGGAAGGGTGCATTTTGGCATTTTAGAAGTTTTGGAAGTAATGGAAAAGTGGTAGATTTGCAGGGAAGCAATCTGGCCTAAGAGGTGTTCTTCTCCTCTTGGGACTATTGTAGGTGCTATAATAGTACAATAATATAATGATAATATAATAATATAACAATAAAAGTCATCTGTTCACCTTGTCTTTCTTATCCAGCCGCACATCCTCCAGATCTTCCATGATGAACTCAATCACCTTCAGGTGTCCTCTTTGGGCAGCGCAATGCAGCAAGTGGCGTCCATTCTGAAAGGCAAAAGGACAGGATTCAGATCATGGGAGTTGTAGTTTGGCGAAGCATCAGCCCTTTGGGACAGAAACAGTTGAAGAACTTGTGAAAACTACAACTCCCACCAATCCATACCTTTCAGCTGTGGCAGTTAGAGTGGTTTCAAACAAATTCCAGAACTGTAGGGGCTTGCTGTAGCTGCCCTTCTCTCTGGGTACGTTGAGAACTTCTCTTGTGGCCATCATCCAAATGAATCCAAAACCTTCCTGGAGGAAATCCCTTCCCTCCATCCTTACAACCATGGAATGCCTTATTACTTTCGAGTTATTCATTACAAAAGGGAAAATCCAGGCAGAGGGGCATTCTCAATGGCTGATGCTTCAAGCACATAACATTACATAACACGATTCCGGTTCCTGGATTATAAATGTCATTTCCTAATTGGTTCTTTCAGAAAAACGGGGAAAAGTTTATTAAACTGCAAACACTTTGTTTTTGTGGGACACCCTGCAGAACATTTTGCTCCAGAGTCTCAATCACTTCAAGATAATTTGTGTCAGCCACAAAATCAAAGTAACTGGAGTAGATCAACTATTTTCAAAGTAAATACCGCACAGCTAAACAGGAAATGACACTTTCAAACCAGGAACTGATTTTATTTTCCAAATTTTGTTACATAGTGTAATGCAAGGCTCGCCCCTTGAGCAAACACTGTCTGACTGAATATAGCAAGAGGAGATCATGCTTCCTGCTCTGTAAAGCCCCCATGCCATTAAGCAGCCATTTCCGCATACCTTTGACGTCTTTCCAAGTCTGAGCCAAACAACAACACACATGCTTTAGGTTTCAAAGGGCGATACCCCAAGCAGAGAATGTGCAACTGAATGCACGGCCAAATGTGCACATGCATCCTGCAATATGCATTTGTGTACAAGCTTGTGGAAAATTGCCGCACCTTGTTTGCACAGTTGGTTTTGGCGCCGGCATTGACCAGGATCTGAAGGATGCGCAGGTGGCCGAACCAAGCTGACAAGAGGAGGGCGTTCATCCCAAACTGGGCAGCCAGAGAGAGAGAAAAGAAAGGTCATCTCAATTCTGGACTAAAATGGCAATGAATGTGCAGCCTTGTTGTCCAATTTTATAAGGCAAGAAGGGCAGAAGCTATTTTATCCTTGCATCCTTTGCAGGACACACTAGTATGTTCCAGCATGCTCAAAAGTTGTGCAGTATCCATCAATCTGGGAACGTTTTGGCTGGTTTTCCTTCTCACATATATTTGCTTTTCAGGTCGATGTGAGAGTTCAAAGGAAGCAAACTGGATGCATTTTGCTTGACTGCATTTGAAGAAGACTTTGGGACTATCTATTTACTGATGGATTCCATTTGTTTTATGGATTTATAAAGCGCCACCCAATATTTCCAGGCTGTTGGGCAACACTGAAAGCAACACACTCTTTAAAAATGTCAATCCAATAAACCCACAAAGAAAATGACAGAAGAAACAGTGTTGCATTTGTGTGTGATGGTTCCGTTTACTCAAATACTGCTTTGTGCACAAAAGGATCAAGTATATTGTCTAAAGCAGAGCTTTCCAAACTGTGTGTCATGACACTTGAGTGTGTTAATGTATTGTTGAAGGGTTTCATGGCTGGAATCACCGGGTTGTTGTAGGTTTTTTCGGGCTATATGGCCATGTTCTAGAGGCATTTCTCCTGACGTTTCACCTGCATCTATGGCAAGCATCCTCAGACCTCACACCTCTGAGGATGCTTGCCATAGATGCAGGCAAAACATCAGGAGAAATGCCTCTAGAACATGGCCATATAGCCCGAAAAAACCTAGAACTACCCACTTGAGTGTGTCTCGCGCATAAAACTTGAAACCTCTTATCTATGTGAAATGACCAATAAATCATATATTTAGAAATAGGTTCTTGTAGGTTTTTTCGGGCTATAGGGCCATGTTCTAGAGGCATTTCTCCTGACGTTTCGCCTGCATCTATGGCAAGCATCCTCAGAGGTAGTGAGGTCTGTTGGAAATAGGAAAAGGGTTTATATATCTGTGGAATGACTGGGGTGGGGCAAAGAGCTCTTCTCTGCTGGAGCTAGGTGTGAATGTTTCAACTGACCACCTTCATTAGCATTTGAAAGCCTGGCTGAGCCTGGGGGAATCTTTTGTTGAGAGGTGTTAAGATGTGCCTGGTTGTTTCTCTCTCTGTTTTGCTGTTGTAATTTTAGAGTTTTTTAATACTGGTAGCCAGATTTTGTTCATTTTCATGGTTTCCTCCTTTCTGTTGAAATTGTCCACATGCTTGTGGCTTTCAATGGCTTCTCTGTGTAGTCTGACATGGTGGTTGTTGGAGTGGTAAAGCATTTCTGTGTTCTCAAATAATATGCTGTGTATATTTGTTTAGAAATATCTAAACAAAAGGTTTTTGTGAGATGTATTGTGTCTCCAGGCCTTTCCGTATGATCATTTATGTATGTGGCCATATCCCTTATAAAGGTTTGGCTGAACCTCAGTTTTGCTATAAAACTGAATTACGGTGTTGCAAAACGATGCGTGTCTAAACAGGTGTGTCACCAGCATTTTTGGAGAACTCTGATCTAAAGGCTGTGTGCATAAAGTATATATGAAACCCTGAATGAATTTTTGTGCTAAGATCTGGGTCCCATTTCCAACGTATCGTACGATGTGTACGGAAATATTCCAAAATCTAGAAAAAATATATATCCAATATTCCAAACACTTTTGTTCCCAAACCTTTCAGATGAAGGATATGCAACCTCTGTTATCCCTGCTTAGAATAATAGAATAATGGAGCTGGAGAGAGACCATATGGGCTACCTAGTTCAACCTCGTGCCATTCAGGAAAAGCACTTATTTCCAGCAATCTTTGAGACCTTGTTGCCTTGTAGTAGTAGTAGTAGTAGTAGTAGTAGTAGTAGTAGTAGTAATAGTAATAATAATAATAATAATAACTTGTATCCCATTGGTTTTGTATTTTAGGTTATTTTATTTTTCGGTTTTTTGCTGTGTTTCTGTGTTATATTGTGTATATTGTATTGATGGGCATGGCCTCATGTAATTATTATTATTATTATTATTATTATTATTATTATTATTATCCTGCCACCGGACTCAGGGCAGCTTACACATGGCACAAAGTGCCAAAAACAGAACACAAAATAAAACACAATCTAAAATACAGTTGAATAAAACATATAGGTATATTAAACAACAACTTAAAACTCAATTAAAACAGTGCTCATCATCCAATGGTGGTAAGCTACTGTAAATGTGGCCATGCTGTCAATGATCGGACAGGGAATGGGATAAGAAAAGTGAGGGACTGTTATCGTTGAACAAATAAATAAATAAGTATAAGAATAATTCGGTGCAAGCATTTCTCACTCCCTGATAGCAAATTATGGATTCTGTACTTGTATTTCTCACAGACCGTGCCGCAGCTTACGTTATCCACGTCGTTGACAGAGGCGTCGTGATCCAAGAGAAGGCGCACTGCCTGTTCATGCCCTGCTCCGGCAGCCCAATGGAGCGCAGTCCTGTCTATCTGGAAAGGAAGGGAGAAGTTAAGCAGCAGAAGGAGATGGGAGAGCAAGGCCGCTGCAAACATCCAAGGGCCAACCTCTCTCTTATCAGTTGGCAAATGAATGGTCACTGCCATTTCTTATCCATGCCATCTGACATTTCACTGGTGAAAATCAGGATGCATCTGGGCAACCAACCTGGGAAGGTGGTCAGAATAGCAATGGTATTGAATGCAGTTTGCTTTTGCCAGAGCCTACTGGGAAGATTTTGCCCCCTGTGTCCCTTCAGGAGCATAGGAAGAGCCACTAAGAGGACCTTGTACCATGTTTCCTATGATTGTAGAACCCTAGAGTTGGAAACTGAATGGAGCATCCAGTTCAACCCCATTCTGCCACACAGGAAAAGCACCATCAAAGCACTCCCAACAGATTCCACCTGAACATGAGGAAGAACTTCCTGACTGTGAGAGCTGTTCAGCAGTGGAACTCTCTGCCCCGGAGTGTGGTGGAGGCTCCTTCTTTGGAAGCTTTTAAACAGAGGCTGGATGGCCATCTGTCAGGGGTGATTTGAATGCAATATTCCTGCTTCTTGGCAGGGGGTTGGACTGGATGGCCCATGAGGTCTCTTCCAACTCTTTGATTCTATGGTTTTATGATGGCCATCTTCTGATGGAGGTATGAAGGTAGTAGAACCGAAAACTGGACCTTCTGAGGACCCATTCTAGAGAATTTAGGCTGCTATAATTCCATAGGAAGGAGAATCCCATTTTGTTTCAGCAAGTCTTTGGGGATGATAGCTCAGCTGTCATCACCATCACCATCATATCTATCATTTCCCCCAGTCTGGGATTCAAGGTGGCTTATAAAACTTAGAACTGATTCAACTTGAGGAACAAAATCCATTGCATAAAAGTTAAAGGGACTATACGTAAACTAGCAATGAAATAAAAGCACTGAAGGACAACCAAACGGTAACATTATGTAACACGATGTTTGTTCCTGGGTTATAAATGTCATTTCCTAATTGGTTCAATTAATATCTTGTCAAGGCTCACCCAACGCAACCTAGTTTGTGGCAACCACAAAAACAAAGTTTCTGGAGAAGAAGAACTTATTTCAAAGTAACCACCACACGATTAAACAGGAAATAACACTTTCAAACCAGGAACAGAACATTTTTCAAATATTGTTACTTAGCGTAATGCGATAGACTTCTTGTTGTGTGGTTTCTGACTTTTGGCAACCCTATTGCAGGGTTTTCTCATCCAGATTCCTTCAGAAGCAGAATTACCTATTGCCCTCCACAGAGGCTGAGAAAGTGAGACTTGCTGAAGGTCACCCAATAGGTTTCCATGGCAAAGCAGAGGGATTTGAACCTGAAGGATGCATCTACACTGCCGAACGAAGGCAGTTTGGCACCACTTGAACTGCAATGGCTTAATTCGATAAAATCAAGGGGTTTGTAGATTTGGTGAGGCACTAGCACCCTTTAGCAGAGGAGAGTATAGACAACTCTGGGATTCCATAGTCTTGAGTTATGGTAGTTAAAGTGGTGTCAAGCTCGAAATCATATAGATTCCAGGTGAGAAATGGGATTCATATCCTGCCAGGCAGAGACATGTGTTGTAGCACAGCAAGCATCTGAGGATTTTTCAGAGGATGAGGGGGATTTTGGATTTCAAAATGAGGAAGCTGTGTGTGAATTGCAGGTCTCAGATCAGAGAGAATTGCAGGCAGTTGAGGTTTTGAATTCCGATGCTGGTGGTTCCCAGGCAACAGGGGAAAGTGAAAGTCCTTGGGCCGATGGGAGAGTTTTCCTGAGAAACTAGATTAGAACTGAGGACGGAGGGAGTAAGACACAGACAAGTTAAATATTCTCACAGAGTCATGGGAAGTCCTTGAAGTCCAGGTGTATTCAGCATAATGTCATGGGTGATTGGATGGACTTAAATGAATTAGTTCGGCTTCAAGCCTCTCAGAGGAAACAACATTGCTAAAGGATGGTTTTTCTGTCTCTGCTCTCAAGTTCATGATTCAAGTTTCCCGATCTTCTGTAAGGGTTTGCCTTGGAAGAAACTCCTGTTTCCTGGTGCATGGAACGGCTTTGGATTTTGGTTCTCTTGACTTTATATACCTTGCCATTTTTGGATTACTGCTATTTTGTATTTTCTATTCTATTTACCCTTTTGAAATTGCCTTTTTCCCCCTTTGTACCTGCTTCCTTTAATAAACATTTCTAGATAGTATCCTGGACTCTGGTGTGATGCTGGGTGAAAAGGGGTTTCAGTACTAGAGTGTAACACCATGTTTCCCAAACCACACACAACAAGTACCTACATTATTCTTGGCCCGGACGTCCACCCCTCTCTTGATCAGCTCTCGCATGCGCACTGTGTCGTTTCGCTTGGCCGCATCGTGGAAATCCTTTTCCGAAAGAAGCACTGGAGGAAACACAGAGCGCATTAAGAGTTGGACCAGACAGAGTTCTTAAAAGAGAGACAGAAATGAAACCCTAAACCAGGGAGGCATCCACGCTGTAGAATTAATACAGTTTGAACTCACTTTGCCGTGTGGCTCATTGCTATGGGATTGTGAGAGTGATAGTTTTACAAAAGTGTTGTTTCTTCCCCAAACTACAACTCCCAAGATGCCATTGCTTTCAGCCATGACGGTTCCAGTGGAGCGGAACTGCATTAAGTCCACCGTGTATGAGGGTTGAATTAAAAGTAATGCCTCCACCTTTGTAACTTTTCAACAGATGGCAGTACTGGTATGCGGCAGGTACTGACTTGTTCAGTAGACTCTCCTCTACAGTTCCATTTTGGTGAGAAGCCATAGCATTTAATGGTTGTGTTGTTAAAGTGCAAAGCATGGAATAGACGGTCGGTCAATGAGACTTAAGCAATGTGCAGTCATTGAATTCTTGACAGCAGAAGGTGTCACCCCAAAGGAGATTAATCAGAGAAAGCAAGCTGTTTATGATGGTTGTGTTGATGTGAGTACTGTGTTGTTGGGTACGTTTTAAAATGTTGAATTGGGAACATCTGACTTGTGTGACAAGCAAAGAGTTGGACGTCCTCAAGCAAAAGGTCTCAAGCAAAAGGTTGACAGATTGATTCAGGATGATTGTTGTATCACTCAGAAAGAAATGTCAAGCATAATTGGCATTTCACAAGAACGTGTGTGTCACATTATTGCTTTGCTTGGCTATTGGAAGATCTGTGCGTGATGGGTACATTGAGAGAACTGTGAGACTCTGGTTGCGGAAACAGAGAGTCGACTTCTTCTGTGATGGCTTCAGAAAACTTGTTCATCATTGGCAGAAATGTATCCAATTGTCTGATGATTATGTGGAAAAGTGAATAGTGGTAATTAAAGAGCACATTCTAAGGATTATTTCAGCATTTGATTTATTAAAATATTCCCATCCAAACCCGAGTAACGAAGGTGGAGGCATTACTTTTCATTCGACCCTCGTAGATGCAACCTTGGATTGTGGCACTGGCGATTCTCCAAATCGATTCCATTACACTATGGAACACGATTTTTGTTCCTGGGTTAGAAAGGTCATTCCCAAATTGGAAATGTTGTATCTATAATATTATATCTATAAATATTATGGAGAGAGCCTTTGTCCAAGTTATCAAGAAGCCAAGACAGATTGAGCCGTGGATCATGACACATTGAGCTGTGGCTGGGGATGATGGGAATTGTAGTCTAATGCACCAGATTGGGAGAGACAGAGGTCAAGCAGGTCTTCCTTCATTCAATCATGAATCCCTTTAGTAAGGAAGGCTCCTTGGCAAAGGACAGTTTACATATCTGCCCTTGTGACTCACAGCCAATATTTACACACTGTATAATTATAATACAGATAGGATAAACAGTACTTTCCCTGAAAATAACCACCTCGATAGGGCAGAGATCAGAGTGGATTTACATAGTCAGGATTGGAATGGGGTTACGTAGTCATTTTCCCTCCCAACTTCCTCGATTTCCTTAGAAGAAGGATGCAAAACAGAGAGAAACTCAACCCACTCTGGGTTATAATCTGAATTTAAAAAGACCTTTTCCCAGGATGCCAAACATTGCTTTGCTTTAATCCAGATCCCGATTCCTGCCTTAGATCCAGACTCGGGGTGTAATCAACTCTTGAACTTCCTTGGCTCAATGTGATGCAATGATGGGAGTTGTAGTTCCCCAAGGTCATTGGCGTTCCCTTGCAACTGGAACTCCCAGGATTCAAGTGGGTTCCAACTGAACAATGGGAGCTGAAGAGTTGGAAGGGACTCCCAAGGGCCATCCAGTCCACCCCCTTCTCCCAGAAACGAGGCACCACTCAAACCCTCCTGACAGAGGCCCATTCAACCTCTGCTTAAAATCCTCCAGGGAAGAGGAACTCCATTGGACTTCCAAGGCAGGACTGAAAAGCTCTTACCATCAGGAAGTTCTAACGACAACAATAAAATAATAATAATGATGTAATAATAATAATGGGAGCCCCTGGTGGCGCAGTGGGTTAAACCCCTGTGCTGGCAGGACTGAAGACCGACAGGTCGCAGGTTCGAATCTGGGGAGAGGCGGATGAGCTCCCTCTGTCAGCTCCAGCTCCTCATGCGGGGACATGAGAGAAGCCTCCCACAAGGATGATAAAACATCAAATCATGCCTCCCCTGGGCAACGTCCTTGCAGACGGCCAATTCTCTCACACCAGAAGCAACTTGCAGTTTCTCAAGTCGTCCTGACACGACCAAAATAATAATAATAATAATAATAATAATAATAATAATAATAATAACCGTAGTGCTTAAGTGCTCCTTGAATGGTGGCAAAGTCCAAAGCACCAGGAGGACCACCAGAGTTTGGGCGGAGACCTCTCTGTTTTGCCCAGGCAATGCTTCCATGTTTCTGGCCTGACCCCAAATGAACCCGGCATTTTCCCGGGCTGGCAACCTTATTTGACCTCTTTGGTTGCGACAAATGCCTCCAAAGCCATGGTTTTGGGGGATGCCAGCAAACCCCATTCCAGCAGCACCCTCAAATACATCTTCCCCAGCCCACCTCCCTGGAATTCACCTCCCTCCATCCTTTCCCTCCCTCGCTTAATTCTTCCTTTCCCTCCTTCCTTCTTTCCTCCATCCTTCCCTTTCATCCTTCCTTCTTTCCTTCCTCTCTTCTTTCCTTTGTTCAATTCCTTCATTCTTTCCCTTCTTCCTTCCTCCCTGCCTCCCCTCATTCCTACTTCCTCTCTATCTTCTTGCCTCCCTCCTCCCTCCTTCCACTCTTCTCTCTTCCTCCCTCTCTTTCTTTCCCTCCTTCCTTCATTCCTTCCCTTCTTCCTTCCTCCATCCCTCTCTTCCCTCATTCCTTTTTTTCTCCCCTCTTCCTTCTTCCTTCCTTCCCTTTCTCCTCTTCTTCTTCTCTTTCTTCCTTCCCTCTCCTTCCCTTCCTCCTCTCCTTTCCCTCCTTCCTCTCTTTCTTTCTTCCCCCTCCGTCCCTTTCTCTCTCTTTTACCTTCTCCCACTCATTCTCTCCTTCCTTCCTGTCGCTTTCTTTCTTCCCTCCCTCCCTTTCTCTCTCTTTTACCTTCTCCTGCTTATTGTCTCCTTCCTTCCCTCCCTACCTATCTCTCTCTTTTACCTTCTCCTGCTCATTCTTTCCTTCCTTCCTTCTTTTCTTTCTTCCCCTCCCCCTCCCCTTTTCTCTATTTTACCTTCTCCCACTCTTTCTGTCCTTCCTTCTTCTCTTTCTTTCTTCCCTCCCTCCCTATCTCTCTCTTTTACCTTCTCCTGCTCATTCTCTCCTTCCTCCCTTCTTCTCTTTCTTTCTTCCCCCTCCCTTCCCTCCCTCTCTATTTTTACCTTCTCCCTCCCTTCCCTCCTCCCTTTCTTCCTCTTTCTTCCCCCCTCGCCTCCTCTCCCTTTTACCTTCTCCCGCTCATTCCCTTCTTTCTTCTCTTTCTTTCTTCCCCCTCTCTCCCTTTCTATCTCCTTTACCTTCTCCCGCTCATTCTCTCCTTCCTTCCCTCCTTCCTCTCTTTCTTTCTTTCTTCCCCCTCCCTTCCCTCCCTCCCTTTCTCTCTTTTACCTTCTCCCGCTCATTCTCTCCTCCCTTCCCTCCTCCCTTTCTTCCTCTTTCTTCCCCCCTCGCCTCCTCTCCCTTTTACCTTCTCCCGCTCATTCCCTTCTTTCTTCTCTTTCTTTCTTCCCCCTCTCTCCCTTTCTATCTCCTTTACCTTCTCCCGCTCATTCTCTCCTTCCTTCCCTCCTTCCTCTCTTTCTTTCTTTCTTCCCCCTCCCTTCCCTCCCTCCCTTTCTCTCTTTTACCTTCTCCCGCTCATTCTCTCCTCCCTTCCCTCCTCCCTTTCTTCCTCTTTCTTCCCCCCTCGCCTCCTCTCCCTTTTACCTTCTCCCGCTCATTCCCTTCTTTCTTCTCTTTCTTTCTTCCCCCTCTCTCCCTTTCTATCTCCTTTACCTTCTCCCGCTCATTATCTCCTTCCTTCCTTCTTCTCTTCCTTTCTTCCCCCCTCTCTCCCATTCTCTCTCCCTTACCTTCTCCCGCTCATTCTCTCCTTCTTTCCTTCCTTTCTTTCTTCCCCCTCCCTCCATCCCTTTCTGTCTCTTTTACCTTCTCCTCCCTCCCTCCTTCCCTTCTCCATTCCTTCCTCTCTCTCTCTTCCTCCCTCCTTCCCCTTCATCCCTTCTCCTCCCCATTTCCTCCCTGCCTCCTTTCCCTACTCACGGGTATCATCCTCGGATGCCAGCCCGTCCTCCATGCCCCTGTGCTGGGCTCCTACCGGGGCATCGCCTCCGCCTGGCTTGCAGCAGCCTTGCCCTCGGGGCTCCTTGCCAGGGCTGGCCTTCCCACTCGCCTCCCAGGAGGGAAGGAAGAGAAGGAAGGGAGAAAGGCACCCGCCGCTCACTCCACCCCGGAGACGCCTTTCGCTCCCATCTTCCTCTCCTCCTCCTCCTGCTTCTGCTGCTTCTGCTGCTGTTTTTCTCTCCTCCTCCTCCTCCTCCTCTTCCTCCTCCCTCCTTCTTCCTCCAAGCGGGGCTTGTGGGAAATGGGCTAAAAATAGCCCCCGAAAGACTCCTGGCTCAGAAGCATCTCCTGCATCCTTGAAGCTGCCAGGGCTCGAGGCTAGGCGGTCCTGGGAGTTGTAGTTTCCCGAGGTCTTAAGCATTTCTGCTTGATCAAGAGAAGCATCCCCCCTATTGAATGGATGCCATGGAGCCTCTCCACTTCCGACTGCCTTGGCTCAATGCTAGAGAGACCTGGGAGTTGTAGTTTTCCAAGTTCTTTGGCATTGCTGCTTGGTCAAAGGAAGCATCCCCCCTATCGAATGAATGCAATGTGGCCACTCTATTTCCAGATGCCATGGCTTAATACTAGGGGGGCGCTGGGAGTTGTAGTTTCCTGAGCTCTTTAGCAGGGCAGCTTGATCAAGGCAAGCATCTACCATATGGAATGAAAGGAATGTGGCTTCTCCACTTCTAAATGCTGTGGCTCAATCTTAGGGAGCCCTAGGAGTTGTAGTTTCTCAAGGTCTTTAGCATTGCTGCTTGGTCAAGGGAAGCATCTACACTATTGAATGGAAGCAATGTGGCATCTCCACTTCTAAATGCAATGGCTCACTGATAGGGAGTCCTGGGAGTGGTAGTTTCCCAAGGTCTTTAGCAGCCCAGTTTGGTCAAGGGAAGCACCTACACTATTGAATGGAAACAACGTGGCCTCTCCTCTTCTAAATGCTATGGCTCAATCGTAGGAAACCCGGGGAGTTGTAGTTTCCCAAGGTCTTTAGCATTGCAGCTTGATCAAAGCAAGCACCTCCCTTATTGAAGGAATGCAATGTGGCCTCTCCACTTCTAAATGCTATGGCTCAATCTTAGGTAGCCCTGGGAGTTGTAGTTTCCCAAGTTCTTAAGCATTGCTGCTTGGTCAAGGCAAGCATCTACCCTATTGAATGGATGCAATGTGGCCTCTCCACTTCTAAACTCTATGGCTTAATCTTAGGGAGCCCTGGGAGTTGTAGTTTCCCAAGGTATTAAGCATTTCTGCTTGGTCAAGGGAAGATTCCCCCTATTGAATGGATGCAATGTGGCCTCTCCACTTCTAAATACTATGGCTCAATCTTAGGGAGCCCTGGGAGTTGTAGTTTTCCAAGGTCTTTAGCATTGCAGCTTGATCAAGGCAAGCATCTACCCTATTGAATGGATGCAATGCGGCCTCTCCTCATCTAAATGCCATAGCTTAATGATAGGGAGCCCAGAGAGTTGTAGTTTTCCAAGTCTTTAGCATTGAGGCAAGCATCTACCCTATTGAATGCAATGTGGTCTCTCCACTTCTAACTGTCCTGGCTTCTTTCCTTCTCTTCTTTATAATTCCTCCTCTTTTCCTTCTTCCTCAAAGGGATTGAATGAAGGAGTGAGTTCCTTTGGGGAAAATATTCAATAAAGCAGTGCAGTTTCCACTCTGGCCACTGGGTGGCGGTAAAGAACTGCCCATGGTTGAACTAGAGCAGTCTATGGCTCAGCTGTACTGAAAAGGTGCAATTTTCGCATATGGCCACTGGAGGGCGACAAAAGGTGTGTAATCCAAGGCAAAAGGATTTAGAAAGTATAATTAACCAAAACAATACTAATGTATGGATTTTTTTTTTTAAAAAAAGGAGGATGAATGATACCCCAAAATAGTGAAGCTAGGCTAGAACTGTCTAGGCAGGTAAGATTTAGTAAGACAGCAGACCTGATCAAAAAAGAAAAAAAGAAAAAAAAAGACATAAATGTGGCCGGACTACAATTTCCATCATCCTTGATCAGTACCCAAATTTGTACGGAAAAATCAAGCCGTACTATTTAAAAAATACAAAATCAGAAAAGACGAAAACACTAAACACACATAAAATATGGTGAGTTAATTTTAATCCAGAAATAATAATAATAATAATAATAATTATTATTATTATTATTATTATTAAACTTTATTTCCAAGAAGTTCATAAGTGTCTATAAGAGACCATAAGAGTTCATAGGGTGAAAATAAGTCCATAGGGGCATGGGCTGTCACAGTTCATTCAAAGGAATAAAGGTTTATTTCATAATGTTTTACTCCATGAAAGGCTGGAGTGGCCTGCCAGAGATTTGGGGATCCCCGGGGGTGACCACATGGGGCTTCTATGGTCCGGCAGTCTCCCAGGCCAGGGTGATGTCCACAATATGGAGACACAACAGTTGCTGCTGCAAGGGAACCATGGAAAATGACATTCTGGTACCCACATGAGGGTCCACCTAATGAAGTGGTTTTCCGGGGCACAGGAGTCCATTCAGCAGAAAGTAAGATAGCAAGGTTCTTGTGGGTTTTTTCGGGCTATAGGGCCATGTTCTAGAGGCATTTCTTCTGATGTTTCGCCTGGGAAAATCCCCTGTTGAGAGGTGTTAAGATGTGCTTGTGGATTTCAATGGCTTCTCTGTGTAGTCTGACATGGTGGTTGTTGGTGTGGTCCAGTATTTCTGTGTTCTCAAATAATATGCTGTGTCCAGGCTGGTTCATCAGGTGCTCTGCTATGGCTGACTTCTCTGGTTGAAGTAGTCTGCAGTGCCTTTCATGTTCCTTGATTCGTGTTTGGGCGCTTTGGTGTGGCTCAACAAAAGATTTTCCCAGGCTCAGGCAGGCCTTCAAATGCTAATGAAGGTGATCAGTTGAAACATTCACAACTAGCTCCAGCAGGGAAGAGCTCTTTGCCCCACCCCAGCCATTCCACAGATATATAAACCCATTGTCCTAATTCCAACAGACCTCACTACCTCTGAGGATGCTTGCCATAGATGCAGGCGAAACGTCAGGAGAAAATGCCTCTAGAACATGGCCCTATAGCCCGAAAAAACCCACAAGAACCTAGTGATTCCAGCCATGAAAGCCTTCGACAATACAGTAAGATAGCAGTTAGTCTTAGAATCAGTCCAGGAAAAGAATGGCACCGGTTTGGAGCCAATTGGTTGATTCGCGGATACAGGTGTCCAGTGGGTCTCCGTATCCGCGGTTCAAAGGAACGCAGTTTCGGCCTCCCCAGGACACTGTAAGAACATCCCGGGTGAGCTCGCAGTGATCCAAGGCTCAGGAAAGGAAAGGTTCATGTTAGAGAGTGTTTTGAGTCAGTAAGGGGACTCAATGTATCTCTATGGAAAGGAAAGGGTAGAAGAAAGGATACTTTTTTATTATTATTAAGGGTTGGCTACATTGAAACAGGGAGGCTTTGCAGGAAAGGAGAAAACACTTTTGTATTTTTTGAGCTGCTGGGGAAGGTGGAAGGTAAAAGGAAGAGGGGCCGACCAAGGGCAAGATAGATGGATGGCATCCTTGAAGTGACTGAAGTGACAGGGAGCTGGGGGTGGTGACGGCCGACAGGGAGCTCTGGCGTGGGCTGGTCCATGAGGTCACGAAGAGTCGGAGATGACTGAACAAATGAACAACAAATTTTTTGAGCTGCTGCTGGAGCCACAGTCACTTCATGCTTTTTAAGACTCAGCTCCCCGGAACTGCAGAACTCCCTGCTGCATAGTCAGATTAGCTTGAAAATGGGGGCCTGCGAGCTCGTCCTCAGATATATATCACCGAAGAGAAGATTTTACTCAAACAAGTTTTTTGGCTCTTCTCCCAAATGGTTGTGAAAGCCGTTTTTCTCCAAAAGGTTATGTTGATTCTAGTTTTCCAAAAGTTAATGGTTAGCATTCCTTGCCAGGCAGAATTGTCAAAGTATTGCAGTTTAGATTCCACAACAAAAGCCAGCAACTGAGGCCTTTTGTTTCTTTTGGTTGCCGATCTTTGGCCTCTCCATAATGTCAATGACGGCTCTTTTGTAAATTAGCTGGAAACCACCTGCCTTTTGCAGTGCTCTGTTGTGCCAAATGTAATGCGTTGCTTGGCGCTGGTGTAGAGAATGATGGCAGCTCTGGCAGAGACATGAAATATGCATTGTTTATGGGCTTCCTGAACTGAATTTTGGGCCCACGTGCCATTGATCTCATGCAGGTGCTTTGCTCAACTGCAGCCCACGGCGTCCTAATTCCCCTCCATCTCTTTTCCCTTTCGCGTTCTGCAACGGATGCCTTTTGAAGAGGTACTCGATGCGTGCAATTGACAGGAATCCCCCCTCAATTATTTCATAGGTAGAAAAAGGAGAAACACCTCTGAGCTCAAACAGAACATGGCAGGCAACATTGGGAAGCGCGGCGCATTGCAGCGTTGCACTTCCCATTGTTGGAGCTGAGTGGCTTCAATTTTGCCATCATCTCCAATGGGACTTCAGCATTTATGGATTGTGGAATCCATAGAAGGCCTTGGAAACCAACCCCAAAGGCCCAGTGGATATCAGATCTTTATGGTTTTTAGTTTCTACAACTTGGTTTGGAAATGTTAGTATTCAGAGTGAGATACCGGATCCATCACATAAGAGGTTTTGAGCGGAGTCTTAAGTTACGGAGCCCTTGGTGTCCATTCAGGTTTGGTTCCAGGATCCCTTTTGAATATCCCTTGAATATGTATTCAAGTCCCATTCAGAAGAAGATCTACAAGCCACTCTAAACACCTTCGCAGAAGCATTCACGAAGCTTGGCCTGTCACTGAACATCGAGAAAACCAAAGTGGTGTTCCAGCAGTCACCAGCCATCCCCTCCCCAATGCCAGAGATACAGCTTAATGGTGTAACATTATAAAATGTTGATCCTTTCCACTCCCTTGGCAGCCACCTCTCCACCAAAGTCAACATCGACACCGAAATACAACACCGCCTGAGCTCTGCAAGTACAGCATTTTCCCGAATGAAACAAAGAGTGTTTGAGGACCGGGACATCCGTAGGGATATCAAGGTGCTTGTCTATAAAGCTATTGTCCTCCCAACCCTGCTATATGCCTGCGAAATGTGGACTGTCTACAGACGTCACATGCAACTCCTGGAACGATTCCATCAGCGCTGCCTCCGGAAAATCCTGCAAATCTCTTGGGAAGACAAGCGGACAAACGTCAGCGTGCTGGAAGAAGCAAAGACCACCAGCACTGAAGCGATGGTCCTCTGCCATCAACTCCGCTGGACCGGCCACGTTGTCCGGATGCCTGACCACCGTCTCCCAAAGCAGTTGCTCTACTCTGAACTTAAGAATGGAAAATGGAATGTTGGTGGACAGGAAAAGAGATTTAAAGATGGGCTCAA